ATGGGGTCCTGCTGTCCTGGGGATGCCTGAGCACCTGCCTGCCTGTGGGAAGCAGTGAATGAATTCCTTGTTTTGCTTTGCTTGCGTGCGCAGTTTTTGCTTTCCCTATTAAACTGTCTTTATCTCAACCCACGAGTTTCCCAGCTTTTATGCTTCCAGTTCTCTCTCCGATCCTGCTGGTGGGGGAGTGAGCGAGAGGCTGTGTGGGCCTTGGCTGCTGGCTGCCGACAGTCGGCAAGCTCATGAATTATCCCGGGGCACCAAACGATGGCTCACTGTGGAAGCTTTCTAGGTGAGAAAGGCTTATGTATTCTTCTCCCCCAAACTAGGAGAAGTAGCTTAGTCAATTGCATGATAAATCATTTAATTAGCACGTTTACTTTTATTGAATCATTAGTCATGGGTTTTTCCTGTTTCTGAGGGTTTTTTTTAAACCTCTGAGCAATTACGATGACATGTGTGACTAGCATGGCTCAATTTTTCCAAAGAGAGAGTATCTGACACAACATATCTTTTACAGTAACACAAATCTTCTTTGATCTGCAATAATTTTGGGTGGTGTTTAGTTCAGCCATGATATTTTCTACCCAATTAAACATGAAGAACATACTTCTAAATAAAAAAGTGGATTCCATGTCACATCAAATAACAGTAAGATGCATATTTAGGGGTTTAGAACTTTGTTGGGTTTTTTCCAAGAATAAAAGTTTGAAAGTTAGAGAACCTAGAAATACACAGCACGATAGTAGTATTTGTTTGATGGTAGCATTGAGCAGTGAATTTAGCAGCTGGCAGCAGGAAGAAGAAAAAAAAGTGCCACATAATGAACCTGTTGAGCACCAATTTTAGTTCACGTCATTTAAGAAATCATACATGAATTTACCATAGAATAAATAACTATCAAGCCTAAAGACCACATGACACATTTTCCATATAATTACTTACAGAACATTTTCCATAAAACCCTGGAGGCTTCAAAACTACTGGGAGTTGAACAATAGCTTTTGGTTTTGAAGCTATGTTACAACATTCCCATTCAAAATGTTTTGGCTAGGAATTAATTTGCTACTGATTTATCATATTTTACATTTAGATTCTAAGATAAAAACACAATGAAGGAAATAACTTCTAGAAAAATACTGCTAAATCACTGCATTTTTAAATTTTAATCAGGAACAGTTATAGTTAAGTAAACATAGCAATTACGTTTGTGCTTTTCAATTACAGAAGGCCATTCACATAGCATTAAAAATTCTGGTAATTTTTTTTCCGTCAGAATTTACTCGATGCTTTAGCTTTGTATCTAAACTCTCAACTGCAGCGTCGGGTACAGCAAAATCAAAGCAACAGTCATTTGACATTCAAGAAAAGGTTGTACCTCATGTTCAATATATGATTTTCATTCATGATGAACATGGTGATGTTTTATCAACCCTCACTGAAAAAAAGATGAAACATCCTCTGTAGCTGACATGTATGGCCAGGGAATATTGTAGTATGGGAAGTATGGAAGCATTATGGAAGAAAGCAGTCAGCTCTCTTAAAGAAATCACTGTCACCATCTGCCCAGAAATGATAGCTCAGTGACTTATTCGTTCCTTCTTTTCATGCTGATCTGTGCATTCTATAGCTAGTCCATTAAATTTTAAAATGCCAGAATTTTTGTAAATCCTTCCATCTCATTTTTTGTCCTCTGCCTGGTTTTTAATAATATTAAAAGGTTGAATATTTGTCTTTATGATTCATAAGTGTCATGAAAAAAACAACAGCTGGGTAGAATAGATAGCTCCTCTAAGTGCCTCAGACAAACCTGGAAGTGTGGGCTCATGTATCACCAGATGCCAGAGAATCCACACATGCAAGAAAGGTCTAGTTGTAAAAAATAGCTAGTTTCAGTTGGCTGGAAATTCATTCATTCAGCTCTATTATTCCTGCAATAATCTCATTTTCTTTAGCCATAACTTGTTCTTCCCAGTTTAACCTAAATTCAATGGAAAATGCTGTGCCAAATGTAGTGGTGGTATTACAGTCTTGTAGTTCAAAGGCAGCATGTGTAATGCTGCTGGCACAGTACATGGAGGTTGGTAGCAATCCAAAGTATTTTAGAGGGTCAATCAGGACTTTTTAGTTAGTGATAAGATTCAAAGATAGGCAGATAGGCTTGATCTATACGGCACAGGGAACAAGCAGGCAACGGGAAAAGGATACACCAGAGCACCTGCAATGGTCAGTATCAGAGAATACTCAAAACATACCAGTCCTCTCCCTACCCCATGTAAACTGATTCTATTTAGTGTTACAGTAATAGGACAATTATAGCACCTAATGTAGCATGCACATTACCTGCTGAGGTTTTATTCAGATACACAGTTTCTTTTCATCAGTTTGCATATCTCAAAAGAGTCTATTCTCTTAGTGTCAGTATGATTTACACATGTGCACCTAGCTCCATTGCAACTCTATCCCACAAGGCAAAGTAAGACTGTTTTCCCCAACAATCTTCAACACTTAAGCCAGGCAGTCACTCCTTTTAAGATTATGGGCAATTGTATTGCTGGTAGATATTTATGCATATTAAGACAGCCTCAGGAACAAACAGTTCCGTATCCTTTCCTCTCCTCCCACCTCTTCTTTAATGACCTGACACAGCTGAAACACAGTTCTTCCCCAAGAGCTCTGCTGAAGAACAAGTGAAATCAGAGGCAGATTCCTAGCTATACAAAGGTGAAAAAAGACATCACTTATAAGTTTATGATGTACCATTAAGCAACTGGAAAAAAAAAATACTTTTAGAAAATAAGCATCAAGGTTCTATTCGTAAGCAAGAGGGACAAGCCTACTTCCAGAAAAAGACTGAACACTTTGGCTACGGCAAATATCAAACTTTAAAAAATAGCAAAATACCTGCACTAAACCAAACAGAAGAAATAAAAATCTTCCTCAAAGTGTTGCTGAGATGACAATGGTCACTGGTCAATGACCTTAAAGTAGTCATAATAGTTTCTATTAGCAAAAGATATTCCTACTGATTTTGCAGGTTTGGATCAAGCCCCAGATCACCCAAAGACCTTAATTTAGCTTTTGCAGACCTATTCTCCAAGAAACTAACATGATTCCAACTCAAACAAGAACTCTTCGAATACATTGTGACTCTATGGATGTTTACATACTTCTATAATAAAAGTTCACTTTCATTATAACCTATGACTCAGAGCTCTCTTTGGATTCAGGAAAGGTTATGGTAAATTCCCTGTAAAATCACTATTGTTCATGATATGCAAACTATTTGGCAGTAGGCCTTTTCTGTTGTCAAATCACACTCATTTTAGCCTCTGTAGATTTGCAAATGTGAGCTGCCCATGTTAGGTACAGATGTCTGTTTGTAGGTATGGCTTCTTTAAACACTTATTGAGTAATTTTGACTCAAAGTACCCAAATGACTGTACTACCACGTGTGTGTCTGTGTGAAAGCTGACAGGATGAGCACGTGTATTTTTACAATGTGAGTTGTCTATGATGTGATGAAGATGTTGAATAAAACCAATAATTATTACAGCAATTAAAACATAAAATTCAAGTCAGCATTTTGATGCAGTTCCAGACTCTCTCCCTAAACTGGTCTATAATTTTGGGCAAGTAACTTAGCCTGATTTTGCAAATACTTTTACTTATGCAAAGTGGCACAAAGAGTTGTATACAGGACAAGACAGTTTTATTTGCTTAAATTACCAAAACTGGGGGCTTAAACTGTTTCTCTGACTACACACACTGCTATGATCAACAGAATTATTCTGTTGTACTCTAGTGAGGCGATGCAATACAGCGAGTTTAAGACACCACTGTTCTAGGAGTATTAAGCACTCCCCAAGAAACGCAACCAGTGCCCAATGAAAGAACAAGGAAGGCAGAAAGACTGGGATTCCTACTTACAGTAATTTCTCCCAAATGCTTAGCCTGTTGCTCTCTTAGCCTCAATCTCTGTCTCTAAACTGTAAATACTCACTGAAATAAACTCCTTTTCCTACAGGCTTCCTGAACTTCTACGGCTGAAGTGAGATGCCTCAGCAGGGAGGCACACCTTAGGAGGGATGAGAAACAAAAAGAGAATGAGCAGAGCTTCGGGCCTATGGATTTCCCTGCCTGCCCAGGGCCAGGCCCTGTGACATGGACCCTGCCAGAATCCGGCAGGAGCGGCTGTCCGCCTATTGTGCATTCCCAGCGGGAGCCGCGCTCCGTGCTCCCCGCCGGAGCTTTCCGAGCAGGCGTGCGGAGGAGGCAGAGCCGCCTCAGAGGAATCGGGCGGCGAGGAGCCGACACGCTGGAGGCAGATTTCCCCCTGGAACCTGCGCTGATGGCAGCCCCAGAACGGCCGCGGCCGCCGGGGCGCTCCCGCCGCAGGGGCTGGGGATTCCCCCGGCGCGGAGGGGACACGCTGCGCTCCTCAGCCGCTACCGCGGGGAGGATGAGCCAACTGCGGCCGACACAGCTCCCTCCCCCGCGCTGCCGCCCCGCTGAGGCGCCAGCCATGTTCCCGCATCGCCCCCACCTCAGGCGCGAGGGGGAGGGGAAGGGGGAGGGGAAGGGGGAAGAGAAGGGGGAAGAGAAGGGGGAAGAGAAGGGGGAAGGAAGGAGGGAGAGCGGGCGGGAGGGCAGCGCGAACACCCCCGTCCCGCTGAGGCGCCGCCGCCGCCGCCGCCGCCGCCCCCTCCCACCTGCCCGCGCCCTCCGAACGCCACCGCCCCGCCCCGCCGCGCTCGCCGCCGCAGATCGGCCTCTCATTGGCGGCCGGGCCCGTCAATCACCGCCGCTCGCGCACGGCCGGCGGAGGGCGGGGCCGTGCGGCGCTGTCAGGGAGCGGCGCCGGGGCACAGGCGGGGGGTGGCGGCGACGGTGTGAGGAGTTGCGGGGCTGCTGCTCCGCTCCAAGCTTTGCTCGGCTCTTTTTTTTTTTTCTTTTTCTTTTTTTTTTTTTTTTTTCCAGGGTTTTTTCACACAGCCCCTCGCTCACCTCAGTTTTTGTGCGGAGATACACCGTATCGGACATCTCCCACGGGCTGCCCGGTCTCTTTCCCCGCAGAGCCCGATCGCTCGGTCCAGCGGAGCGCGGACAGACCCCCGCGGCCAGGGTCTCCCTCAGCCACCGCGCTCCGCCTCGCCCGCCCCTGCAGCGCCATGGATCACCAGCCCAAGTTCTTTGAGAACCTCTCAGGCACCGGGAAGGCCATCGGGGTGCTGACCAGCGGCGGCGATGCCCAAGGTAGCGGCTCACGCCGTTCGCTCCGGGAGCAGGGGGACGATGAGGGAGGGGAAGGTGAACGCGGGGGAGCTGCGGTCATGGCGGGGAGTGGGGCAGTGGAAGGAGAGGGTGAGGAGCCCCTCGGGGGCGGTGTGAGGGGGGAAGGAAGGAAGGGCCTCCCCGGCTGTCAGGACGCCCATGCGGGAGGCCAGGGGTGCCGTCTCAGCGTGGGCTGCCCCGGGGCTGGCGGCGGGAAGGCAGAGTGCAGCACATGGAGTGGAGAGAGGGCTCCGGGAGTGCGCCAAGCGGGATTGCCGTGCTTCTCGCCTTCCTCTTACCCTGCTGGCCTTCGAGCCGGCTCTGCTACTAAGAGCATTTAAAAGATAAGTAATTTTTCTGTGCGGCCTGGGTGCCTGAGCTGCGAACATCCCCTCACCCCTTCCTCCTCCCTCACTGTCTCGTCACGTTTCCTCTGAGCCAGCCTAGGCAGGGGAGAGGGTAGAAACACTGCAGTAACTTTTACTACCGAGATGTCTCGTCCCCTCGGGAGGTGGTGGGGTGAGGAGGGATGGCTGATGAGAGCGGGGGAGGAGGAGGTCGTGCAGCCCTGCACGGCGGGTGGGAGGGAGGCTGCGCTGCTGGGGCTCTGCCAGCCCTCGCCTCATCTGCTTTTCGCTTCCTTCTGGCACCAGGAACACGTTTATGTGCCTACCCGTGGGTTAGAACGCTCAGATGGCAGTTTACTCTCCCCTTCTTAGGAGTATGTAAGGAGTCTCACCTCCTTAAATCTCTTCAGCGTAGAGGGAGTCGTAGCTACTACAGGACAGGGTGAACAAAAGACCTACAGGCATTGAGAGGGAAGGGGAAGAAAAGAGGCTTCATCGCAACATACCTAGTCAAAAATTTAGGTTTTTCTACACTTTCGTTCCCCCCTTTTCTACCAGAAAACCTCCTTAATAGTTTGAAGTTTCAGTTAATTAAGGTTTCAAACGGGAAATGCGCCGTACAGTTCCAGAGGACTCTTGCTCTGCGTGTGCCAGGAGAATTGTTAAGTGATGATTGTTTTTAGCTCCTTCCATTAAATTACGCTTGGTTTACTTTTTTCTTTTTCCTCGGGAGTGTCTCGAAAGTACTTTCTCTTAGAAAAGATGCGGCATTCATCCTCGTTTGTGAAGAGAATGGGGGTGGGGGTCTCCTTTCTGCTTGGGCTCGGTGGTTCAGTGACCAGTCTCTCGCCAGCTTTTCCACGAGGAGGTGTCGGGACCAGCCCGCAGCCCCGGCCAGGGAACCGTGCCCGGCTGCCCCGGCGGCAGCAGCAGCCTCTCCTTTTCCCCTCGCTCCCCGGTGCGTCCATGTGGTGGTAGCTCGCATGGACCAGTGTGTCCGCGCTCCCTCCCACCGCCGGTGTGTACGTGATCCGCTGCGAGTCGCTGCAGATTCCGCCTCTTTGCGTCATCTGGGCTGGGAGAAGCATCCTCCCTCCCCCTGCCCGCAGGAATAACGGGGAGCCCCCGGGTTTACCTGGGATTATCCGAAACTCTAATCGGGATGAAAGGGATTTGGTGCCATTGGAGAGGAGAATGTTGTAGTTCTGGAGGAAAAGGAAATTGATGCGTTTAAAAGGCTTCTGTTTTGCTCCTGGCTGGGGTTACACTTGTTCAAGTTTTATCCACGGTTTGCTCCCAGCGACATCAGTTCCACTGCTAAATGATTCTAGGAGGGACTGGGAATCGTCGCATCTCTGTCTTAATGATCTGGTCACCAAATCGCCATTTTAATTTAAAAGTGTGGCAGGTCACTGCCTCAAGCAGCAAGAGGCTGAGCCCTTCGACTTGCTTCCGCGTGGCTGGAGATTATATAATGCAGCAGCAGATGCATCTCCTTTTATAAAGTATTAATCTGCACTTGCCACTATGTGAATGAAGGCATTTAAAGGACTTGCACAATCCACATCTAGACTTTATTATCCGGCAGATTGCCACTGAAGCATATTTACAGGGAGGGTTCCAAAGTAACAGCCTGTGAAAGTTGCTGTCTGAGGAGTGGGGTTGTCACAAAGACTAAACAAAGTACACTGGATGCCTTCCAAGCTGTTTTGTTGGCAGCATTGTTGTCCTAACTTAGAAGAACAAGAAAATAAAACCCCCAGCATTTTAGAACTTGATCATTTCCACTGAATCACACAGCACAGTTGAGGTACATAACCCTTACTATCTCAGTAACAGCATAGATGTGTAAAATATGCAACCTCAAGTAAATTTGCAGGCTAGATTAGGAGTTAAACAAGGGACAGAATGAGTCATGCCCTGTCAAGGTCATTTGCCCTCTGTAGGACAGAGTGCAAGTGTGTGAGAGAAGTGAAGTCCTGAAGTATAACGCAGAAGGAAATATGCTGCTGTTCCTGCTGTTTGAAAATAGTATGTTCAAGCAAAGTGTAGGTGAAGCAAAGCTACTAACTCTGAAGTAGGCAAAAAAGTTCTAATACTAAAAATAAGTTCCAGTCTCCTGTTTTGTTTTGGATTTGTTAACCACTAGAAATCAGAGTATCTATAATCCAAACTAAACTCACAAACAATAGAGTGGAAAAAAACACCCATTATTGTTGCACATAATCTTCGTATCACATAATCTTCATACCAATAGGTGCCATGATTTAGGTTGGGCTGTAAATCTTAGTTCAGATTAAAATGTGCATGAAATTATTTTAAAATAGAAGTTACTGCCTTTGCTATTACTGTACTTCTTAATAATTTAGAAGTAGCAATATGTAAATTACACAAGCCATTCTATTTGTAGGGCATGTTAAGTTTTCAATTACTTCCCCCAATTTGTGCAATTTCTGTGAAAATTTTATTTTTCCTATTCCTACCTGTAGAATATTAGACTACAGAATATATATATGTGTCACACTGGAACTATTATGGTTTAATCATCATTCTTTTGTTTGGTGGAGTTAAAGAATTTATCACTGATTTGTTTCACAGGAAAAAGATTGGTATTTTGTACACAATGTATAGAAGTACTGAACTTGATAGTCCACATCACGTTAGCTTGCCAGCTGTTAAATTGTGAACTAAAATACTTTCCACCATAATCACAAGTGCCTCGAGAGGCAAAAGAAGTTTTGACAATTGATCCTCAATATAAATATTGAGTTGGTTTTCTGGACTATTTCTAAATTGTAGTGGTTGCAGCTCGGAAAAGTGGTTTAATAGATGGGTTTTAAGTCACACTTCTGTTTTCCCTTTGTGGGATTTTCTGGCCATGGTCTGCTTCAGGTCATGAAGTACACTGCTTGTGCTTCATGTGGGTTACCAGTGGCTGCCACAGAGAGTTTTGGCCACCGTAGGTCACTTATGTTCCACAGCCTCCAAATAGGTGCTTATTCTGGGACTGTGGTAGGTACAGCTTCACAACAGGAAGAGTCATCCGGGAGCTGCTGACAGAAGGTGATTGTGCTCTGCTGGGGAAGGATATGTGTGTGGCTGCTGAGCTGCTGCCCAGTTTACTGGCTCCAGATTATTGTCTTTGAATATGACCATGTTATTTTTGAGATAAGCTCAAAAGATTCAGTGTTGTGGAAGACAGCATAAGTAGGGGACATAATGGTCTGGAATATCATCATAGCTCATCCTGCTGAAGTAACATTTGAGGCATTACAGGCTTCCCAACGTTTCAAGGCATATTTAGTATAGTGGTGTAGATGTATGGCTCTTGTCCTGGTAACTTAGATTGGAAGAAGAAATCTTGCCCCTGGAAAAATAAAAAACCTCAACACCTTCAGCAAATACTGGGTTTAGAAAAGCTTAAAAAGAATCCTATAGCCTCTTGGATTCTGGACTTTTGGAGTACCATAGACCATGACTGTGGAAGCGAAGATCTCCGTATTTCTGCTCTTGAAGCATTGCAGGCTTCCGAGGATGTACTGATGTACTGATCTTGTCCTGGTGGGAAAGTGTCTTTTTTCATCATAGGCCACTGAACTAATACAGTAAAATAAATAAGGTTGTTTATCTTTTTTTTAAGACAGAAACAAACAAACACAAACAACCCACACCCCTCTTATGTCATCCAGATTACAGAGGTTATTTATTAACACTTACATGATTCGAACATATTCATGAGGAGTTTTTGAATTCTAGCCCTCCCCCCCCGCAAAGGCACCCAGCTGAGAATAGTGCGTATATATAGACATATATATGAAATCCATATGTATGTGTCCATAGATATATTATAAATAGTATTTGGGTGTAAAATTAGATATGTAGTTATTAATGAATAAGTGTAACTATTTCAATGTATTTAATATTTTTGAGGAACTGCTTCTATAATTAGTGGATTCTCTGATTGAAACTGGTCTCTTAAGATTTTTATTTAAATATTTAAGAAGGAAATAAATGTGTGTTGTCTAGATGTTTTGCTGTTGTATATATCTGTGCAGTAGAATGTTCTGATCTAATACAGTGTTACTGTTCAAAAAATTGTATTTTCTTCAAGTATCTAGAATAATTATTCTGATTATATGCAATAAAATTTGTAATGTAATTAAAAGTAAATGGAACAAACCCAAATTGTTTTCTTCAAGCTTTGTTCAGTTCTTGTATTTGACTACTTCTCTTTTGATGATTATAGGCTCTTACATGCTTAGTGACATAGCCCTTTCCATATTTGAATAAAGCCTTTCTGTTTGATAATGTTTAGACATTTTCCTTAGTGTTTTTTGCTATATAGTCTTGTAAGTCTGAATCTTTATTCAGGGTAGTACTTAAACATATGTGTTAAGTCATTAAACCTGTGTTAAAGCCAATGTTTATCTTTAAAATTGGTGGTACTTAAGTATTTCTTGATGCTTGTCCAAGATGCATAGTTTTGATTTTTCTTTTGTATGGTTTGTATTACAGTTATTTATTTAAAGGCATGTCTAGCTGACTAAAGTGAGGCAAGCTTGGCTTAAACACAAAATAGCGTAGAACCTCCTCTGTTGTAGTGGTGCATATGTACGTGGAGCAAGATGTGGGCACAGGAGAGGAATACTTTTTTGGAGGCAGGGATAATTTAGGGACTTTTGCAGTACTGTTTATAACCCTTCTATGAAAACTAACTTCTTTTTTTTTAAAGACAATTGAATAGGAAATATCAAAAACAGTAATTTATCAACTCTTAAATTATTCAGATGTTCTGTAAAGCCATGTAAGTAGTTGCAGTTTACCTAATTTTTGCAGAGTCCAAAAAACAAAAAAAACCCCCACTTTTGCTCTTTCCAAGACTTCAATGCAAAAACAAGTGGTAATTCAGAAAGATTTTAAATAATTCTTATAAATTCTTAAAAAAAAGAAAAAATACTGGTTTTACTCGTGGCTTTCTTTTGAAGCTGCTATTCTAATCCTGTATGTTTATCAGGCTACATTTATTATTCAGGACTAAATCCATGGTTAACCCAGTAAATCTCTTTTTGAGTAATAAGCATATAATTACATTTCATAGTTATTATGGTAATTCATGAATACTGTTGTAAGACTACACAAATAATCAAATATGGCAACATTTTGTTAGACAAGTTCTGCAGAGGCTTTATGAAATTTTTCTGTATTTACAGACTTGAATTACTGCAACCAGTGTATTTAGATTTAGACAGCCAAATTGTAGCAAGCTAAAGCTTCAGTGTGTTAACTGTATTTCGTAGGTATCAAATGATAACATGCTTTAGTCTTCAACCATTCTGAAATGTAAGCCACTTGCTTAGGAGCCTGCCAGGAGACACCCAAGTCCTTTTTCTGTATAAGGAGATAAAATACACACCACCAAATAATAATAAAATGTGTGTTGTATAAACTTAAAAAGTTACAGTAGTGGTACTGGGAAGATGCTTTCTGCCTATAATCTGTGGGGCTTTTTTTTTCCTGGACTTTTACCCTTTCTTGCAGCAGGTAAATTGTGAATTTTACCCATTTTTCATTCAAGAAACATGGAAACTGGAAGGTATTCCCTAAGAAAATATGTGGCTGTATTATGTGTATATATATAGCAAATACATATAGGTACATATATAAAAATATATAAAATATATATATACATATAAACCCTCCATAAACAAACCAAACAACAGCAACCCTCCTTCAAAAAAAAACCCCAAAAAGCCAAACCCCAAACTCCCAAAAAACCTTCCTGCCAAGCAACAACAACAAAAAAGCCTCCCACACAACATGTGCATTAATAGAAGCAAGCTGTGGCTTTGGTGAAAGGAGTACTTGTGCTGACGTCTTCCCTGTTTGTGGAAAATGGCAGTGCTGTGGTGAACTGTCAGTTTGGTCAAGTTAAAGGTCTTTGTCTCTGTTTTTCAGGGGACATGGTGTGTGAGGGGGGTGGGGGTATTAATTTTGTTGTGAAAACTGTTTCCCTGAGGAGATAACTTTGCCCCGTGCAGTAGATCTGTTTCATCTGAGATTTAGCATGCTAACTTCCTTTTCAGTGCAGGCTGTCAGATGAGATTCTCTGCTTTTCTTTGGCATCATCCAGTTCTTCGTCTAAAGCTGTGCTTTTAGCTGTCTTGGCATTTGAGAACTTTTTTCAGCTCTGCCACAAGGCTGACTCTGGCTGAAAGAATTCTTGCTGCTGTTTCCTAATACAGAATTGATTTTAAAACTGTTACTTGTAACTCTTATCTAAAGTTGAAGTGACATTACAGAAACAGCAAAAGCAACTTTTTGATTTTGACAAAGTTAATTTTTTAGTTTCACATTGGTCACCTTCAGGGACTTCCTAGTGTGTTCTTAAGTAATTAATCTTAGAGAAAACCTCAGCCTTATTCTTTATTTAGACAGGCTGACTATTACAGCTCAGTATTTTTTCTGCTGATGGTAGATACTGTAGGATACTTTGTGGCTTGCTGTGTTGAGGGTTTATATGTTCTAGTTACCAACTTTTTTATTTCCAGAGAGGTGAACACTTAACTTCTATATCAAACAGCAGAGCTGACCCACTACTTTGCTATTTAGTTATATTTATTGCATCAGATTTGGAGAATTGGTGCCTAGTGCTTTGAATTGTCATGTGTCTTGAACCCTTTTCAACTGGTGTGCCAAGGCTGTTTCTTTCAGCGTAGCCTAAACTACTTCTGTCTTCATGCTTTGCATAATCTCTTGTGTCCATTATAGTTGTATGGAAGCAATTAGTTTATTACTTTTGAAAAGTTCCTGAATAATGGGTAAGGTAATGCAGTATCTGAAGGGATGAGTTATAATAGAAATTCATTTGACCTGTGTAGGGAGACCAGTGGAACTTCCAGTCTTGCTCATGAGGATAAGTGTTCGACCAGGGGACTTTAAAGGAAGATGTACAGGAGTATAATTGTCAGATGTCTGTGAGCAGGGAATTACAACTTCAGCTTGCAATTCTGGAAGCAAAGTGGCTTTTAGACACTTTCCTATGAAATGAGTCTGTGTGGCATTTTTTGTGTTAATTTACTGCTATTTCTGTCTTTTTAAATGAGCATCTGTCCAGGTCAGCTTTGACTCCAGTCCCAACAAAATATTGTGTGTATATAACACCCGTTTTATTTGGAAATCTCAGAAAAAAGAACTGTTACAATATAATTTCTCATTTCAAGAAGCTAAGTTTTAACTAGCTGAATGTTTTGCATTTCAGAAAGAAAACTAATCATTATTGTGAAATTAATTTGCCTTCTTGTTTGGTAGCTGTTACTTTTACAATGCTATTTTACAGTCAGCAGCAATTTAATCTCTGATGAACACACATACTGGCATCCACATAATTATTATAACAAAGAGCAGGTCTGAACCCTTCATGTTCATGGGCTGATTGCACTGTCATTAGGCAAATTTCTGTTTTAATGGATGCTGGTCATTTTCTTTAGGAAAGAATTAATGTCTCCTTTATTTTTAAGACAATATTTGTAGCATACAGAATAACAATGTGATTTTGCTTTTTCTTCCCAGGTATGAATGCTGCTGTGCGCGCAGTAGTACGCATGGGAATCTATGTAAAAGCCAAAGTCTATTTTGTTTATGAGGTTAGTTTTTGTTTTATTCATTCTGTACTTTGTCCTCTGACTACACTGGAGTTTTTGTGGAAACATCATGGAGATTAGTATAAATTGAAAATTTATGCCATTCCCTTTCATCATATGTTTTATTTAGTATTTTTTATTTTTGTGGAAATTTGCTTTTGTCAAGGTGTTCTGAAAATATGTAATTTAAAAGTAATTCTTTAAATGCATGGAATTCTTCATGTGCTACCAGAAGCTTGAAAATGCTGAGGAAATCAGACATGGTCATTGTCCAGCAGTGAGCTGTGTATCTGTGCACTTGTTAGATGTTTGGCCCCATTTATTGTTTATAAATACTTTTCTAAATCTGGTTAAACTACTGATTTTTAATCCTTTGCCTTTTCCCAGTCTATTTTCCTAGTGTATGATAAGGATGTGTCATCATCCTCATTTCACAGACTGTACAACTTGGTTTTGAGAAAGAGTACTGTCAGGCTGGTGCCATCTGTCCTGGCTAGTAGGTGGAAAGTTGTAACTGAAAAAAATCAACCAACGAAAAACCAACCAAACAAAAACAACCAAAAAAAGCATCAAAAGCCTGACCATTAGTGGTGTGTCCAGACATCAGAATTTTGTGGCTTTTGATCGTGTGTGCATAAATATTGTTACTTCTATGACAGTCATGTGATATGAAAACATCATGAGACAAGTTTAATGTAAATGAGTAGGTAATACTTGATGTGTATGTTTTACTGGAAGACTGTGTTATAGTTAGAGTTCTGTATAAACAATGCTTTCAGCTTTTATATGATTTACTGTAAATATATTTAGGAAGAAGTCATTCTGTTCCCACTGAATTCCTGTACAGATCCTTAGTAGTTTAAAATTATTACAAATCATAATAAAAAGTTGATATGGGGGAAAACTTTGTAGGCAATATTCCCAGTGAACTGTAATTTTAATGTTTAATAAAAAAAATAAGAAGTACTAGAATTCATAGAAGTGCTAGGAAAGTACTTTGGTTTTAGTTTTGTGCATGCCAGATATACAATTTATCTTTTAAAAGTAGCTACTTACCCATTTTTTCCGTGTTTGCTTATTCCTATGGCTCATTTACTAATGAGATGCAAAGTATATTGAAATGCAAATAAGCAGAGGACTGTGCTCCAAAATTCTTTTGTACTACAGTGCTACACCAAGTTACTCTGAACATTTAGTGTGTGCTAATTACATGGCCAATCTCTGGAATTCCCTCAGTGTTCAGCTGTTTTGCAGCCTTGCTGAAATGGGTCAGATACTTCTCTGGAAGTAAGGAAGGGGTTTTGACCATCTTTAGGCTAGAACTTGGATTTTAATTTATTTCAAATTAGATTTGACTCAGGAATTACCATCTCTTTGCACCTTTTAAAAATTGTTTTGTATCACAGAGTGTATTCAGTGATAAATTTCTAGAGAAATTTGATTATTTGTTTTTTCTGAACTTAGCAAAATAGCATTATTTAAGTTAGTGTGTTCCGATCTTAACTGCTAGAGCTTGACAGAGTGAAGTCACAGATATTTCTGAATGAAAAGCAATTGTAAAAATCAAGTCAGTGTTGGGAGTTTTGAGTTTCCATTATATATTGTCATTCTATCTTCAATGTAACAGTGTGTTCTGGGAGAAAAATGCACATTTCACTGTAAGTAAGGGCTTTGAAAAAGATCTTTGCTTCTAGATTAGTTCATTCAGTTCTACGTTTTGGGAAGTACCCAGTGGTAAGCTTTATTCTTCTCTGACTTTGTGGTAATTGAAATATGAAGTCAGTTTTCTTTCACAATACATCCAACTACTTCAGAGAAACAGAGCTGCAAGATTGGAAATGAAACAGCTATTTAATTTCACCCCTTTGAAATAGGAAACAGGTGGAGATGACAAGTGTAGTAGAAGGTAAAAGTCTTAGGGTGAGACTTGTCACTAATGTTGCCTATTATAAGCCTTTGAATGATGTATGCAGAGATGTATTTTTGTGTATAGTTGAAGTTATGTAATATTTTCATTAAGGTGTTACTTCTAAATTACAGTGTATCAAATGCAGACGAGTGTGTTAAGCAAAGAGAATTGTATATTTTTGGCCTACAGTTTGAGTACGCATTTTAACTAAACACATGTAGGTCAGGGGAAAGTAATAGTTGTATTTAAGCTGCTCTGAAAAAGTGAAGGAAAACCTGAAGTGACAATAGCCAAAAGGAAAAACAAGTTTTCTTATTTGGATCCAGAAACTGAGTTAAAGGTCTCAGACTTTTCAAGCTTACTTTGCTGTAGTCATCATATGCTCTTTTATCCTGTAGCTGTGTCTGTCACAATTCTTTTTTTGCACTGTAAAACCATCTGTCTTCTACAGCTGTGGCCAGAACTAGCTCCGTATTCTAAGTAGAACAGTAACTCTGTTTTTTTTTCAGTTTCCTAACTCCATTTTGCTTCATTTTGTGATGAGAGAGTACCAAGATAAATAAATAAAAATTGATAGCAATTTAGATTTGTCATTTGCCAGCCTTTTTTAAGTTGGTTTTACTAAAGCCCAAAGAAAGAAACAGTTACATATTGGAATTCATGGTCTATTTGGACATACTCCATTTCCCAAAATTAAAAAGAAACTCAAACCAACCTATGTGAAAATTAAGACTATAAAATAATTATATAAAAATATAATTTGATATATAGCATTTATGTAATTAATATAAAACCCTGTAAATTTATGGTTAGAAAACACAGTGAATTAAGGTTCTTTTTAATCTTAATTCATTAAAATTAGTATGTTTCAAAATTTTGCTATTAATTTGTGGAAGCAATGCCTACTCTACACAGTTGCCGTAGTTTCATATGTTATACATATTATCATTTTAAAGTATTAAATTTAGTATATAAACAGTCTCTAGTCACCCTTCTTGATTAGCATCACATTGTTTCTAAAATCTGCCCCAGTCTGAAGTAAAATTTGAATACCCATGGATTAATTTCACTCATGCTATGAAAATCTAGGAGATGGAAGTACATGTAGAGTCCCAGGCTGCTCTAGGAGGCTAGTTGACTTTTTTTTCTTTTCCAGTAATCAAAAACTATGAAAGTCAGTTTGGGGTTTTTTTTGTTGTTGTTTTTAATTGAGAATGTGAAGAAGTGATACCTCTAATTTCTGGCAACTGGTTTTGGAAACTGAGGTCTTAAATATTTATACGAATAACCTGCCCTTTTTCCAGGATTGAAGCACATAGTTCCCAGTGGATGCGTGCTCTTACTACTAAGCTATGGAGTTTTAGATTCTTCATCTTGATTAAGAGTCTTTTTCTCCAGAGGCCAGCATTGGAAATGCAATGGTACGGCAGTCACGGATATCTGTGAGGAAAACTTCATGTCTTTTATGTGGTGGTCTGTGCACTCAGTGACACTGGTATTTTACACTGTCAATCAGTAGCTTAAAAATCTCAGTAAGTAAACTCACATAAAGCCCCAAATGTCTCACATGTAACTTATCAGAAGGTGGCTTGTTCTTTTTCGAAAGCTTTGTCTTTAGAGTTTAGACTGGAAGCAAGGTTTGCTGTCCCTGCTGCTCTCTCCAGGAGTTGCAATGTGTTTGTATGTACCTGGTGAAAATTTGACCCACAGAGATTTCCTCTTGTTCATCTCTGAATTTTCAGATTTTGGGTAAAGGAACGGCTAAACATAAAATGGGGCAGATTTTCATATACTGTGCTTTCTGTACTTTTGACAGTTTATTTTTTCCATTCTTGCCCCATAGTTTTAGTATCTTAGTACCCAAGCTGCTCTTTTTAGGATCTAGGTAAGGATTTAATTTTTTCTTCATGTAATTTGACAGATTCCCACCCTCTTTTTGTTAAGGTCTGTATTCACGTCTGCCAGTAACTTTCAGTTACTGTAACAGTGTTGAACTATTTGTTAACCTAATTCAAGTTAAATCCCACCTTTAAACTGGATTGTTCAGCCCCCATCAGTGTTAAAATAACTCAAGCGATAAATGGAAATAATGATCATTATTAATACTTAAATTATAATTAGTAATTTTTTTTTTCCCTTTAACTTTTCTTGAAAGCTGTTTTAATTCTATAGCTTGTATCTGTTAAAAGTATGGAAAGCAACATGGAAATTCTAACTACATTGTTCAGAGGCAGCTTACAGATACTCCTCAGCAAACAACTGAATTAAGAACAGCTAATATAACAGTTCAAATAGGTCAGGATTCTGGAGGCTCCTCATGCTTACCTTGTAAGGGGAGGAATTGTTAATGCATCCCCAGTTCTCAGTTGTCTACACAGATACAGACTCCTGATCAAAATGCATGAATTCTTTCTACTTTAAGAGTGCATGGTGCAGGAATTGGCCATAGCTCCTCCTTAGCCTAGTTATGTTTCAAATCTTACAGTTTCAAATAGTAGTTCATCCTTTGGCTTTTTTCTGTGTTTTAGATTCAATAATATGTGCTTTGGGGATTTTAATCTGTGAGTCTCCTGATACGCATATATTTATGTATATGTTTACTGTATATTGTAGTTTTTGGGATGCATTTCTTTTATTTTTCCTCTCAAGTTAGCTTATGGTTCAGCTTACTATAGTCAGTGTTAGAAACTGAGTTAAGGTACACCACCACACTACTCTTTCAGGATTTGTTGCTTATGGATATTTGTGTTATTGTAGTTGTCAATAGCAATACCAAAAAGCTTTCACTCCATTAATGAATGATAAAAGGAACATTGGATTCTTTGCTTTCAAAAAAGGAAACTAGCACAGCTGTGATGAGTGAACTTAACAATTTATCAGCTCTCCTCCAGCTCAGTGGGAACCACTGTAATGTTTCTTCTCTGTGGTGACCAGTGACAGAACCTGAGGGAATGGTGTAAAGTTGTGTCAGGATGGGTTTAGGTTGGATATTACAAAGAGCTTCTTCACCCAGGGGGTGATTGGGGGCTGGAACAGGCTCCCCGGGGAACTGGCCACAGCACTAAGCCTGACAGAGTTCAAGAAGAGTTTGGACAATACCCTCAGGCATACGGTGTGACTCTTCATCCTGTGTAGGGCCAGTAATTGGACTTGATCATCCTGGCGAGGCCCCTCCAACTCTGCATATTCTGTAATTCTTTCTGAAGATCTTTACATTTTATCTGAGAAATAATTTACTTTTTTTTTTAAGTTGATGTGTAGTCTAAGCATTATTCCTTTTCCAACTTGCTCTAATTTTGAAGAAATTGTGTAGATACTGCCTTGGCTTCGAGTGTATACATGAGCATCCAGGACAGTATGTCCTGTAGGTAGGAGCCTACAGGGAAACTGGAGAGAAACGCTTCATCAGGAGCCATAGTGATAGGGAAAGGAGTAATACATTCAAATTGAAAATAGGGAAATATAGGTTAGATATAGAAAGAAATTCTTTGCTGTGAGAGTGGTGAGTCACTGGCACAGGTTGCCCAGAGAAGCTGTGGATGCCTCATCCCTGGAAGTGCTCAAGACGAGGTTGAATGGGGCCCTGAGCATTTTAACAAGACGATTTTTAAGGTCCCTTCCAACCCAGGCTATCTAGTGTTATGTGGAGAATGTACATAATACTGAAGAGGTCTGTTGGATGACAGAAATTAGAGACGGGGAGTTTTCCAACTGGATGTTTCCTTGGTATCATCTTAAATGTAAGTTAATCAATCAAGTCTCACTGAGACGTTTCTGCTTTTCCCTTGGAATCTGTACAAGAATCCGAAACTTGTACTTTTACTATGCCCAGGTTGTCCTTTAATTTTTATCCTCTCCTAATAGTTAGGACTCAAAGTTTGACATAGTATTCATATAATGTATATGGCTTTTTAAGTCTCTGTAGGCTTAGCACATTTCACCACTTACTGAAGAAAATCTGCAAATACTCTGAATCATGCCAAAGTGAATTTCTCTAATTTGTAATGTCAGTTTTACTGTCTTCTGAACTTCCTTCTTTTCTAGTTACACTTGATTTATTATTGAGAACCCTAAAACTAAATATGTACAGTTTTACAAAAACTGCATATAAAAAAATGGTAACTAGTTTTTCTTTGGCACGGGGAGTATCTACACATAATCTAAAAGTGGAGACATAAACATTGTCATGGTTATTTTTGTTTAGTGGTTTTCTGTTTCCTTCTTTAACCTAGAGTGTTTTTCCCCTTGGATTTAAATAAATGTCAAGAAGTTGAACAGTAATTTCAGTTTTATTCTGGTATCTCTATCAGTTAGGATTTTCTAGGTTAGAACTTTGCTAGATTTTATTTTCTTTTTTTTTTCCTAAGTCAATCTTCACAATATCACCTAATGAAAAAAACCCTATAATTGTCATTCTGCTAATGTTTATGTAGACAGATAATAAAGCTAGGTATAACAAAACCCTTCAGCTGCTCACTGGATAGTTTTCGTTCTTTCAAATAAGTGTAGTTCTTTCCATAATACAGAGTGCAGTGGTTTCTGCACTAGTGGTTTCTGCATAGAAGACCATTAAAGTTAAGATATTAAGAATTTCTTAAATGTATCACTAAAACTATTAAGTTTCCTTATTTATTGTGTAACTGACTCAAAAAAAAAAAAAGGTTATGTGACCTAATTTCTTTTATGAAAAAATTTTGGTTATTACTCTTTATTTTGTTTTGCTTATACCAACTTAGGGGGGAAGAATATATGATGTGTTACAAAGCTAGATTCCTAAGATCATGACCTCAGGCTGAGGTTCTGTTTTTAAGAAACACATTTTATAACGTCTTTCAAAGTTCTTTGTATTTTTTTTCTAAAGTTAATATTTATTCTCTAGAAAGGAGTAACACATTGCCATTCTAGTTTAATAGCTGTTTAGTCTGTGGAAAGTATTATCTTCAAGTTGTCTTTGGAACTTGTCTTTTAGGAAGAGGGTTTGCTTTGCCTTTTTCCCCCCATTAAAAAATGCAGTGATAGCTGCTTGAATGTTGTTTCGTTTAAATTGAGTATTTTTTTATTCCATGTTTTTAGTTACCTAAAGTTACACCGAAATACACAAGGTGAGTATTACTGCAGTGGAAATGTTATGCTGTTTTGAAGTCTGATTTCTGAAATACTTCTCTTTCAGGGTTACCAGGGAATGGTTGATGGAGGTGATAATATTGTAGAAGTTTCATGGGAAAGTGTTTCAAGTATCCTGCAAGTGGTAAGTGTTAAGGGGTGGGAGTGGGACACAAACAAAAGAATCAAAATTTTAGATCCGGGCAACCACTGTAATTATGTATTTGAACTCTGTGATGACTGAGTGATCAGCATGTACTATTTTCAACAGAGCCTGATTTTTACGGTATGGATGTCTGACACTTTCTAAAGATCTTGGTGTGGTCTTGTATTTGGTGCACAGAAATAATCTTGAAAACCTTTGTCCTAGATTTTCAACATCACATGCCATTAGCCTCCTAAAGCCATATTGAGAAGTCTATATTTAATAAAAAAGACATTATAGGGCCAAAACATGAAACATCTGTGTTTTGTAAGGCAAATATTTTCTTACGAAACCCTGTTGGCTTTCTGTGTAAGTGAATTTAGAATTACAGTAATGGATGTAATTACAGTGCAGTTCTGCAGAGCTCAGGTAATACCAGTGACTTTGTACGTTTTTATTACAACGTTTCTGCAGTGTGGCCATTTGGATCTCCTCAGCTTTTGCTCAGCATGGTAATGTTGTTACCTCTTCCAGAGCAGGTGCTATGTTTGGCGAAGAGGCCTTACTGCTTGCCAGGCTTTCTGAAAACTACCTCCAGGTGAAGCGTGGGTTTCTTTGGAGCTTTCTGTAAAGCTAATAAACATAAAACAGCAGAGACTTTTTTTTTTTTTTTAAACCAATACTCTGGAATACTGTGAGATATTTTGTCCACTGTGTTGGTTTTTTTCCTCTTTTTTTTTTTTTCCCCTCCTTTTCCCCATATCTGTCTTGCAGAATCTGAAATACCAAATTGAAAGGGACCCATAAGGATCCTTGAGTCCTGAAACTGAACAATATGACCAAGAGCGTCATCCAGATCCATCTTATGGTTAAGAGAAAATTGAGTTACCCTGGCCAAGCCACACAGGAGTATAGGCAGGAGCAGGATGTAGGCATATACTGTACATGTATATAGGATACATAGTATAACAAAAAACATCTGAACTTGATGGCTAGTAATTCAACAGGCCAGCAGTGAAGCTGAACCTTACAGAATGTGTTTAGTTGTTTTGATTGGAAAGGTTTAACAGCCCAACATATATTTCTGTTAATTCAGAACAAGTAGTACATCGTTTCAAATATATAATTTCTTTTCCACTTAGAAAAACCTATGCTTTTCGTAAGTTTGAAAATACCTAGTTTAAATGTGGTTTTTTAGTCCTGATTTCTTTTTAAGACCATCTCCATTTTGTGTACATCTAATTTTTAGTCTGGAGAAAGCTGAACTGCTTCTGTTCCATTTTTTTTTTCTCTCACTGGCAGCTGTGCAACATAGATGGCAAATTAGTGCCTAGGACTGGCTTGAAAGCTGAATCATATATTGATAGGGTAGATCGTATCAGTACAGCTTTGGCAGATTTGAAGCTCAAATTTACATTGGCATGACTGATTTATTATAAGTTAAAGTGAAGGAAATGTTTATGCAAAAGTGAGCTAACCATCTCCAGATTTGTTTGCAGGAAAGAAAAAGGTTTTGCAGTCTTAACTGATATTACCCTTTACTGTGACAATAAATAAGGCAAAAATTAAACTTCTTGAGTGACTGAACAGCATAAACACAGAAGATGTGTGTTTTCATCAAGATGCCGAGGAACTTTGTGAAGTGACAGGGCACTTCACTCATTTTTGAAAATAGTAACTACCATTTCTGAAAGAAGTTCTTTAAATCATATCAATAAACTCAGCAGATAATTATAAAAGAGAAAATTTAGCATTAGTCTGCTCTGTAAGGCATTAAAGGCAGTTCTTTCTGTAATTCAGTGGAATGATGATAAATGATAATTTTGAATTTTAGGGATATGTTTTTTCTCTTACTATAATATATTTCATGATACTTGGGGGAAAATGTCACACTAAGGCAAATTTATCTAAATACTTAACTATTTAGTATATTACTGATACTAATGTCACATGTAAGTAACAGTTAACCTATTTATTGTAATGCTACTGAAATTAATTGTAAATCGTTGAACATTTTCCTTCCAGAGTAGCTCTTTGTCTGAGATTTTCGAGTGTTTTTTAATTTTTCCCCTGTGTATCTGTTCTTGAGAACATCAGTTCCCACAGGTTTGTTAATTCCTTGTTCATCGTCACTTCTTACTCTCTGTAAAATTAAAGATGGATGTTATGCTACAACATTCATCATTAATCCATCTTAAAAACATACGGTAATATACCAGACTATGAATTAAAACTGCTGTACTTCCTTTTCCTAGGGAGGTACAGTTATTGGCAGTGCTCGCTGCAAGTCCTTCCGCACACACGAGGGCCGCCTGCAGGCAGCCTACAACCTGGTCCAGAGGGGGATCACGAACCTTTGCGTGATCGGCGGGGACGGCAGCTTAACCGGCGCCAATCTGTTCCGGGAGGAGTGGAGTGGACTCCTGGAGGAACTGGCAGAGAATGGTAAGTTTGCCTTTAAAACCTTCTAGGCTTCCAGTCTGACCTGCAGGGAAGTTATGCACCCTGAACTGTAAATCCAGAAACTGTATCCAGAGGGTATTTCTGAAGTTCAGAGGTCAAGTGCGTTCATTCTAGGAAACTCTGTGATTCTTCATAAAATAAGTTTTTGAGTTTTGCACATCCTCCCATGCATATCATAAAGGTTCAAAAAGGATAAATAAGTTACTGGGCAACAATCTGTGTGCCTTTTTTCCTCTATTATGAATCATTTTCAGGATCTGAGCTTTGAACCTTCTGCTTGAAAAGCCTTATGCCCTCATATCCAAACTGAGATGGTAATTCCATTCCAACAAAAAGCTACACACTTGGCTGTTATAAAATTAGGATGTCACTATTTTTTTAAGATCAGAACATTACTTGGCTGTTGATGAGAGTAAATCCAGCCCAGGAGTTGTCTTTGATAGCATCTAAGATAATGCATAGGGAGGAGTAAAAGAGTAAAATAATGCTGTGTAGATATTATATGTTGTTCATAATGTATAAATACTCTTATAGGTTCCATCTATTTCTGTCTTCAGGACTTCCTGAGCCAGATGCTATTAGCAGTCCTTAATGAATTTCTCTTCCATGAATGTATACAGTCTACTTGAAAACGTACAGAGTTTTGCCAAAAGCATTGTGTAGCAAGGAGTTCTACAGCTTCACTGAATAATGAAGATTGGGAAGAATCTTCTTCTGTTTATTTTGATCCTGCTGGCTTCTAGTGTCGTTTGATGTCCCGTAATTTTTGTATTAGAGCAAACAGTGAATGATCAATCCTCCTTCCTCTCTGCATGCCACTTGAGATTTTACAGCTGTCTTATTTTCCCTTCATCGTCTCTTTTTCTAGATGGAAGAGTCCTAGTTTGCTTATTTGTTCCCTATATGTAAGTTCTATACCTTTGATCATCTTTGTTGCCCTTCTCTGAACCTTTTCCAGTTCTACCATGTTTTGAGGTGGGGAGGACCACAACTGCACCCAGTATTCAAGATGAGGGCAAACCATGGATCTACACAGTAGTATAATGATCTTTGTTTTGTTCTCTATTCTCTTCCTAATATTTTCTAATATTTTGATTTTTTTTTTTTACTGCTACTGAGCATTGAAGCTGATTTATTAATGAAAACAGCATTATTATATTATGCTGGAAATAGCATTATTTTGTTTGAAATGTTAGGGTACATTTTTCACGCGTCTTAGTTTACATTTATCTGTAATGAATTCCATCTGATACTTTACTGCTCACTGTGTCTTGCTAGTCTTCTTCATTTCTTCTCAGACACTCCATACTTTTAGAACCCTAATAATTCAGTTTGATCAGTAAACTTTGGCACCTTGCTGCTCATTCCCTTTTCTAGGTTATTGCTGAGTGTGTTGAACAGTGCAGATCCCTGTAGAACTCCATTGGTTACCTTGCTCAGATACAAGAACTTGCATTTACCATGACCCTCCGTCTCTTATTTTTTTCCCCTCTGTTTCACATTATTTACTTGATGAAAATACTTCTCTCTTATACGGTGACTATTTAGTTTCCTCAAAATCTTTTGGCAAAAGACCTTGTCAATGGCTTTTTGGAAATCTGAGTAGAATGTATAAACCAGATAGCCCTTATTCATGTATTAAGTCACCTTTGGAACTCTAGAAAAGGTTTGTAATGCATGGTATACATTCATAGAAAACATTTTGATGCTTCTTCACAATGCTGTGTTTATCTTCATGGACATTAATTATATTTTTCATTACTGGTTTTCTCTAATATAGACATTAAACACACTGATACATAGTTTTCGAATCCCATATTAGAAATTTGGCATTCTATTTACTACCATCCCATCCACAGATACTAAGGTAGTTTTAAGTGCTTAAGCAGCTGAGGTACTTCATCCTTGAGATCCTTTAGAACTCATGGATGATGCAGCATTTTTACTGGTGTCTTGGGAGACACAGCTAAGACTTAGGAGCTTTTCTGTTCTGTTTGCTTATTAATAATGAAATCAAGAGCCTTTCAGTGTTGCAGAAGAGAAATCTTCAAAAGTTTGATGCTGGTTTTTGATTGTTTACATATGCCCATAATCACATCCACTTCGCATCCTTTTACTTCTTCATTGCATATTATGCACTACTGAGACTACAATTTGAACAATACTGTGTTAAGTCAAAGCCGTCAATTTTAAGGTTAGTTACAAAACTTGATAATTTTTTGACATTTTGAGATGGACTGAAAAGCTCTTATTTCCTTCCTTACTGTAAGGAGTTCTGTGCAGGATTCTTTTGTTTGGATGTTTGATTGGCTTTTGTTTGTAGTTTTGACTAACCTTGTTACCTAAAATATCTAAACATAATTCAATGTTTGGATATGTTTAATTTACAAAAGTAGAGCACCCAAGCAATATGTCTGATGAATTTTTTTTAACAGTCTTACAGCTCTTTCTCTGGACACTTCTTTACAGGAAAGATTGATGCAGAGGCTGTTAAGAAATATGCTTACCTTAACATTGTGGGAATGGTTGGATCCATAGACAATGACTTCTGTGGCACTGATATGACCATAGGTACTGACTCAGCTTTGCACAGAATAATTGAAGTTGTTGATGCCATCATGACCACTGCTCAAAGGTAAATAGTGCATATTATAGAGATTGATAACAAATGTACAGTCGTTCGTGCTTCAAATCAAAGTTTGCTATTGCCATACAATAGTGAAGAATTAATTAATTAATTAGTTAATTTTAAAAAGAGGTTAGGTAAGTGGGATTTGTGGGAATAAAAGTTCTTTTTGACTTTACCTTTCAAATGTCTTGTTTTCTTTCTCTCTTAGTAATTGTTTTTTTCATCAGTGCTGTTGTGGCAGCATGTTAAGCATGTGATTGTAGAGACTACATCATCTTTAGGTGCAGGCTTTGGTTTTTAGTAGGTTTTTAGTCTATTAGAGAAGATCCAGGTACACTTTGAATAGTACAAAATAGCATGTTTGTATATAAGCTTTGTTTCAGTAAAATTAAAGCAATTAAATTAGTAAATTTTTTTTAATACAGATATATCATTGCAGTTCTTAACTGGATTTGCATCATTTACATTTTCAGTAAATGTTCACATCTTATCTCCTAGCTGCCCATACGTGTCTTTGAATAAAGTAGTAGTGAAAGGAAATAATGCATTGGAAGATATGTTATTTTAAATATATTGTTTAATGTGGCCTCCTGTTTTGCTAATGAATTCTGTGTTTAGTTAGCATGGTAAACACAGGCTGTTTCTTGATATCAGGTTCAGTTAATTTGGTTTTCTTATTTTTACAGCCATCAGAGGACCTTTGTTCTGGAGGTTATGGGGAGACACTGTGGGTATGTATTTTCTTCAGCATTTTGTGTCTTGTGCAGGTGTAATTATGAAAGGCTGAGAAATCTGAACCATAAATGTCTAATCATCTCTTCTGTTTGTTAGGTATCTAGCTCTGGTTAGTGCCTTAGCCTGTGGTGCAGATTGGGTGTTTATTCCTGAATACCCACCAGAAGAAGGCTGGGAAGATACAATGTGTGTTAAGCTTTCAGAGGTAATCTATTGATATGTTTGAGATTCCCTGATGACTTTGCAGGTGTTTATTTGAAAGTAGTAATTAAAAAATGCGATCAGGACTTTCAGCAAGTTTTCAGTTTTTGTGTCATGCAAAGTTCTCCATGATCTTGAACATAAGAACTGCATTCTGCAGGGGTTTTTTTAGGAAATATATGACCTGCTCTGGGGATTACATAGAACTTCCTATATACAGTGTGTGTACCTTTTCTCAGTAATTTGCTGTAAGATATTTGAACTTCATCCATAAAAAAACCTGTATGAAAATAAAATATAAGAGAACACTTCAAATATTGATGGTCAAATATAAGAAGTATTTCCTTAAATCCTAGAGGCTCAATGTAAAGCAATTGATTATAAAATTGTGCTGTAAATTCTTTTTGGTTTTTTTTTTTCATTAATTGCATGGTTTTGCTTTTATTATAGAATCGTGCACGAAAGAAAAGGTTGAATATTATTATTGTAGCTGAAGGAGCTATTGATTGCCACAACAAACCTATAACATCAGAGAAAGTTAAGGATGTAAGTGTCAGCATCTCTGTGATACAGTTTCTGTTCTGTTCATAAGATGTTGTTATCAATAACGTTTCTGTGAAGTAAATCTGTTCCTGTAAGGTAGCTCATTACACAGTTGTAATTTTATATTTGTGCTTTGTTTTCTGAATCCAAAGTCCAGTTAAAGGGGATTTTTTTAGGGGCTATTAATTAGAAACTTTTCTCCTTGTAATATATCATAGCAGTTCAAAAGCACCTGATTCACGGGTGCCTTAATTGATAAAGAGTTGGAATTCAGCTCAAATCAGTATTTATAATCCTATTTCACTTTGTATGTCTTGTAAAAATATAATACTGCTCTGTCTCACAGTGAAATGATAACTATGTGCTTTGGACAAAGTCTTGTCACTTCTAAATGGTTGCTTTGCTGAAAATCTCATTTGTGTCTAAGATTAAGAAAACTTTTGAGCTGAAGATATTCTACTCTTTTTTGTAAAGAGTCCCTTAAGAATTTGGAAAATAGTCAGTGGCAAAAAGGAGCTGTTACACTTTAAGTTTACCTGGGGTTTATCTGTCCTGTGAATATGAAGCTTTGTTTTCCATAGTTGCCAGTTTGGGACAAATCTTTGACTTTATTCAGAACTGCAGTATTATGGATTAAAGTTTAGCACCAAGCGGTGTTAAATGTACCTAGCAGCAGATTACTGTGCATTTATACAAGAAACATTACTTCCTTGCTGCAAATTTCAGCCAGTTAATACATTAAAAAACTATAAATACCAGGGATAAAAGACTGTGTAACTTGCAGAATTTTTTTCTACTGTATGGTATTCAGTACTTATTCCTACCCTTACATGCTCACTAAAGATATATTAATAAAGCATATCTTTTGATGACTTTAGATTTGATATGTAACAGAGAAAATGGAACAAAAGTGACTGAAAGAAATAGTTTTATTATTGTATGTTTTTTACTGTGAGTTATAAAAGCTTTGTCAGATAAGGTTAAAAGTCATCCTTACTGAAGTTTTACTCAGAATCTTTTGGGACATGTAATCTTGCACGTGAATTCACATGAAATGAATAGAACACTGTAATTGAACTTACTTCAAGGATTAGAATATTTAGACCTGCTTTTGTAACTTTGCACAATGAAACCATTTTAACTGCAGTTAAACTATTGCATCAAAGTCACTGTTTTGCCATTATAAAATGTTCCTTTAAATTAGGAACCTGGAGTTTAGGTTAGGAATAAAATAAAGACATTTCTATGTAGAATTTTATTATTGCAATTGGATATAAAGCAGCCTAGTGCTGTCACATGTGTATAAAATAATGATGGTGATAAACCCACTATATTTTGAAATTCTTTGCAGCTTGTGGTTCAGCGGCTTGGTTTTGACACCCGAGTTACTATCTTGGGTCACGTGCAAAGAGGTGGAACCCCTTCAGCTTTTGATAGAATTCTGGTGAGTGTTGCTAAAGTAATTACTCATGGCACCACATAGTACAATGTCATTTTGATTATTTAATTGGGGGTGGGGTGGTTCTTTACCTGATAAACCTCACAACTGAAATTATTGTCCTGCAGTAACTGTCTGAATAGCTCAAATTTAGAGTAGTGAATCACTTTGTGTAGAGGAATCTATATTAGGATTAAAATGCAAAGCTGTAAGAACAATCATCCATATTTAAGGGTATTGAACAGCCCACAACGTTCTCATCTCGCCAAGTTTCAGCTTGATTTACTGAGAAATCAGGACCGTTTCTGTGACTGGAATCCTTGTGCTTTTAAGTACTTACGTAAACACTCAAACATGATCTGTTTGCAGGCGAGTCGGATGGGTGTGGAAGCTGTGCTTGCCCTCCTAGAAGGTACTCCAGCTACCCCTGCCTGTGTTGTGTCCCTGTCTGGAAACCAGGCTGTACGTCTGCCTCTGATGGAGTGTGTGCAGATGGTGAGTTTATGGTGGCAAAAAGCCAATTTATAGTTGTTCATTTACTACAACAGACTCCTGTGTACAATAATTGTCTGTTTCATTAGGACACAAATGGGAATGTGTGCAGCACTTTTCCACATTTAGGAATGAGTAATGAAGTTCATGTATGTTCTCTGTGTGTTATTACTTATTTCCAAACTACCAAGGAACAAAAAATATATATCTTTATAATTTGTTTTCAAATTTCGACTGTCTTCTTTTTTTATTGCTACAACAAATTCTTCAGATGCTTGCATCCATTTTCACATCATACACAAGTCAGGTTTCTGCACTAAAACTGTTTGACTTAAACTGAAAAAAGAAAATGCAAAATAGATACACTAATTTTTTTGGGGGGGTTTTTTGTCCCAGGAAGGCTTTAGTTGTTTGTTTCTACTTTCTTCTTTTCCTGTACGCTGTAATTTATGCTGTCATAGGAGATAGCTCATAAATTGAGGAAGGATCAGTATTTTTTCACTATGGAAATATATTAATATATGGGAATATATTAAATAATCAACTTTCTGTGTTTTTTAAATATACTGACCAATCAACTTCTTTTTTCAAGACTCAAGAAGTCCAGAAAGCCATGGACGAGGGAAGATTCCTTGAGGCTGTGAGGCTTCGTGGAAAGTATGGCCAATGGCTTATATCAATTTATTTACTCTAGAAAAGCTGAACTGCTTTGCTGTTCTGCTGGAATTTGCCATTTTATTTTAAATATTTTACTATCCATATGATTTTATGTGTTTGAGAATAAGAGAGGAGACAGAAGAAGAGTTACCTAAATAGAATAATTGAAATTTTTATTTGCATATAAACATGCAAAACAAAGAAAACTGTAGTTCACTGCTGTGTCAGACTAGTGACTGATAGTAGGCTAACTTGTCACAAAGTAAAGAGCTTCTGTGCTGCGTGAGCTGACTGGTAGCAACCACATGTTTGTTTATTCGAGGTTTTGAGGCCAATCCTATGAGCTTGTTTGTAAGTAGCTGGTAGTTTTCCATCAGTAATGTTGGGGGGAGGTGTTCTTCACTCCTACCAGGAGAACAGTTTTTGTTTCAAGTTATTTGATAGTAAAATGCTTTATCCCCAATCTGGAAAACTAATTTGCTAGCTATATAGTTAGTTTGTATTTTATCACTGTTATTATACAGGATTGAGTATTTTTCTGTGTTCTCTCATTTCCACTTTTTATCATGTTTTGCATTTGTAATAACAGTGGTGTTAATATTTCACCAAGTGTTGCATTAAAATAACTATGAGTTTGAAAATTTTACCATTTCATTTGCTTATCTTACTTACTTATTTATTTAGGAGCTTTGAAAACAACCTAAACACTTACAAATTACTGTCGCACAAAAAACCAGATGCCGAGCTTCCAAAGGTAAGGGGGTTTTTTTGAGTGTGCAATGTACGTCTGCTTTGCGGTATCCTAACAAGTAGTGGTTTTTTTCTTCTCTGCCCCTCATCCTGCTTTAATACTCCCTTTAGTTTATAAAATTAGTTAAATATTTTAGAGAAAGATGATTGAAACACACAACTTTATTCTAATAATAAGTAAAATTTTTTCAAAGTGAAATACTGTTGTATGTAGAAAATTTCTGTGTAGACAGTTTCTTTCTGTCTTGTATGTTGGGCCTCAGTTGTTACAGTGTCTGGTCCTGATAGTTACTGTTTTGCTCTCTGTTCCTCACCATGGAGAGAAGGAAGAGTGATGTAATCATGATTAACACTCTAAAAATCTTGAGATAAAGGAAGATTCAATATTAAAAGAATTCTAACCTAACCCTTCCTTTTGAAGGGCAAAATCACTTGAGCAAGGGCAATTCATGAGATAGAATATTAAAGACAGATGAATCACCTTTATCTGATCTAATAAGTCACTGTGCATAATGCAGTAGTGGACATTTAGTTCTTTTCTTTGTAGTTCCTGAGTTTTGTGTAAGAATAAATTTCAATTTATTAGGGAGCAGACACTAAATTTTGTGTGCAAACAAATTTTAGATTTTTTTTTTCATTAAATGTTTATTGAATAGTTCTGGGTTTGATCATTGTTGATGACTATGTCACATCACTGGTTAATTTCTTTTAGTTGAGTTTTGTGACTATTTGATACTTTATTTTCATAATTATGTTGCTGTTATGGTTTTTTAAGATTTTTTCCAATTAAATGTTTGAGTAATGCTTACTAATATCTTCTCAATGTTATTAAGGATAAAAATGGCATTGAAAATACAATAATGACCTAAGATTGACCTTCAAAAGATCAAACAATTGAGGAATTTTTTAGTGGATATTTAACATTTTCTTTGCCAGATCAGGTGTTTGAGTGGTGGCTTTTTACATACCAATGCAAAATCAGGACCATTAGCATTGGGCTTTTGTATTTTGTTTTAAAATACTTTGGCCATACCTTCTCGTGATGAGTGGCATTAGGAGGAAATGTACGCCACTTGTAATTTTTAACCACTTGGATCTGACCACACTAAGCAAATCTGGGCTTCAGTAAAAGAGGTTGAATGGGAATTAAAAAGCAGATGAAATGTGCATGTCTCAGGAATCGAAATTAAAACTGAACTGATGAGATCAGTAGAGCCACCTGATTGCTCTTCTTCAGCAGTGCTTCTACACACGTTTGGCTGCTTCTGTTTCCTTTGCATTTTTCGATGATCCTTTGGTTGTACCAGCCCTAAAAAAGAAACCGTGAATATTTTGGTTTGGGTCTCTTTTTCTGTCAGTTTGTTTGGGGGTGACAAGGGTGTGGTGTTAGATTTTTGTTTGCTTGTTTTGTTTTTATCAGGAGAGATTCCATGATCATTACTTGACACCTATGCTGTTATTTTTGTTTAGTATTCCTATCTTCTGGGATAGAGCTAATTAACTTCTAGCTCTGCCAAAGCACCAAATTGATACAGTTTTGTCATGTCAGTATTCGTAAATGATTTGGGGTCATCCTGCTGATTGAAACCATGATGGATTTTAGTATATTATGTGCAGACTGTCATGTTTTCTTGCATTTTTCTTACATAGTTGGTTGTCAATTAAATTCTCTTAGCTAAATTTATGCAGAGTGGTTAAACTTTCCCAAAGTTCAGGCACATAGAGCTTTAATTCTTTAATTTTATTTTGCTCTTAATACTAATTTCAAAGGTGTAAAGATGAAACAAAACTAATAAGTAGCAGTCCTTCATTATTTGCTTATGGATTATATCTGTTGTATATCAACACTTACTGATGTCAGTGAAACTGTGTTGATTTATATTTGCTGACAGTTTCTTAATCAAAGAGAGTGGCCTGTGATTTATCTGGAAATGAGAATTCCATTTCAAGGAATGTGTGATGTACAGAAGATCTGCAATGCATGCTTTGGAGTTAAACTTTAATCCGCAGATGCTTACTAGCATTTTACGCGCAGCTGCACTGTGGCTTTATAAACCAAAATATTTATTATTTCATGTTACATTTTAAATACAACCTTCTCTCTTACGTTGCCTTTGGTTTAAATTGCAAGTGTATTTTTTTGATCTTTCAGACTTTTCAGTTCAAGTAGATTAGCTGCTTACCCGGGATACTCATTAAACTTGGGGAGAGCAGTTATTTTGAGTCATTATAAAATTGCCATCATCTGAGAATGTATGGTGTTGTGAAAGATGCTGAGTGCTCCCTTTTGCTGCTATATTGTCAGCTGCTTGAAAAACCTGGCCAATAGCTTAATTTTAAAAGTTGTCTGTTCCGCTCTGCGTGGTAGTGATGATTCATATAAATGATGTGGTGCTAAAAAAACAATAAAGTCTTACTTAAAACCAAATTTTTTTTTTTTTTTTTTTAGAACTGTTTGTCTCTGGTTTTCTGCAAGTAGGGAAATACATGTCTGTATCTTCCAGTTAACTTTAAATCTTCAGTGGATTTAGGGCCTTTGAAATTTCCTTTCCTGCATTCCAGTATTTAGCAACTGCATATGATGTACAGATTAACCATGGTGTAGAAATTAAAAGTGCTTATTAAGTATTACTTTTATCTTTCAGACTAATTTTAATGTGGCAGTTTTAAATGTTGGTGCCCCTGCAGCTGGAATGAATGCTGCAGTGAGGGCTGCAGTGAGAGTTGGCATAACTGAAGGTCACAAAATGTTCGCTGTCATTGATGGATTTGAAGGTTTTGCTAGAGGAAAGGTCAGTATCACAAGTGTGCATTAGCTAGTAATATGTACCCCATCCCACACCATCACTTTTGTTTATGTTCTTACGAGGTATGTTCTGTCATAAGTGCTGTGGGAACTGATATTGTAGGTTCTTTAATTTCATAAAGATATATAAACCCCAAATTGTATCTGTATTTCTCAACTATTCAAGTCTATAGAGTCATTTATGCTGACTATTACTTATCACATGCTACAGAATTAGTTCAGATGAATCCTGTGTTTAAATTTTGGTCAGTGTTTAGCATATTGTAGAGTTTCCACAGAATAACAGAATAATCTGATTCTGAACAGTGAGTTGTTGCATCTGTATTCCTTTGCTGTAAGAAACTTTGCAATGGTGCTTGTTGAGGGAGGAGGCTTTTTTTCTCCCCCTAGGTGAGTTAGATTCTTTTATTCCTGTTTTAAATGTTAAGCATCAGTTGGTACACTGAAGAGAAACTGAATACAAGGCTAATGATGTCTATGCCTGGCTGGAGCCTCAGGTCCCAAAACTAACTTCAAACACTTTGTTTTAGGTTTCTGTGTTTCACATTCAGTGGGAGAGGATGTGAAAATAGGACCAAGATACCAAACAAGGAGGCAGGGTTCATCGTAGTCTGAAGGAAGAAAGAAAAAATTGAATGGAAAGGGATTGGTAGTAATTTAAGAGAAATTGTTAACCTCTTGATGCTGTTTTCTTTCTTTACTGCATTCAGTTTTAGTGATGTCTGTGCCAAACAACTTGTTCCAGCAGTCTTACATGAAGTAGTATCTGGTGTTTGCTGCAGGTCAGGAGAAGTAATTGGATAATTACTTAACAGAATCTCCTTTTTCATTTTTATTCATAGATAAAGGAAATCAGCTGGGGAGATGTTGGAGGCTGGACTGGTCAAGGAGGATCAATTCTTGGTACAAAACGGTAACAAAAAATATTTTTCCAATTGATATGATGAACTCTAGGGTTTTGGGGATTTTTTAAAATTATTGTGTTCCAGCTTGGGTATCTTTATATATCAGAACAAGCTCTGAAGAGAGAATGAAAATGAGAGTTGGAACCTCAACTTAAAACTTTCATGGGGTCCTTACACTTTAAATGATTGCAAACCTACAGTTTCTTTACAGCTGACATGATTCCTTACTGGTTGTCTAGAAGAGTTATTTGTATGAATAAATATTTGAAATATAAAATATTGTGTTGCCTACTCAGTTTATGGTTTCAGCTTAATAATTAGTTCTTATTGCTGCAGAGTCTGTAAATTTTTATTTTTCTTTTGGTTTCGTGATTTTTAGTACTCTTCCTGCAAAATATTTGGAGAAGATTGCTGAGCAGATGCGCACTAACAACATTAACGCCCTTATGGTTATTGGTGGATTTGAGGTACACTGAAATATCTTATTGTGTCTAAGTAGAGTAGAATTCCTAAGAAAGTGAATAGACTGTTTCAGTTTTTACCCAATTTTCATTTAAAATGCATTTGGCTATAACTGTAATTGATACACAACGCAAATAGTGTTTAGGGTCAGAAGTACTGTGAATCAGTGATTCTTTAGAAAGCTGACCTTCAAAACAGTGACCGGAACTGCTAAATGCATAAATAAGGTGAACTTGCATTATATTATTTGTGTATTAAAATACAATCAATCAGTGACTTCTGTAGTGCAAGTTCCAGTCTGTATTGTATCAATACGTAGAACATACTTGCAGAAGTTCTTGACTTTTAGTAGTAATTGCACTATGGTTCCTTATTTAAGCTGCTCTTCTCACATGGTGCATTTCAAAATCTGTAATTGTCTAGAGAAGTATTTTCTCTCTTTTTTTTTTTTTTCTGTATTTTATGTTTGCTAGTGAATTTTTAAAATCTTGACTGAGGAAAGTATTTTGCCAACTCCTAGCAGAGAAGAACATGCTCCTTGTTTCTTGATAAGGAACAAATCATCCATTTTGTCCAAGCTGTTAGCTATGACCCTAACTCAGGGATATTAAAATTTTTAAATGAGGGCCAGTAACTGTGTAAATGAGGAGTAACAGTAACTGAAGCTTGGGGAAGTTTGTGTTGTAAAAAGCACTTTGTTACGTGTAAATTATATATTCTGTTGATAATGAATATTCTATTTATTATTTGTTTTCAAATGTATACCCATTTTTAATGCTCTCTCTTTTGTGTCTGTGTTAGATTTTAGTAGTTCCTTAGTGCTCTGACTTGCTGAAGTGTGCTGTGGTAGAAATGGCTCCCCGTGTGGCCCTTCCCATTTTGTCACTCCAACTCTGCCCTTTATTCATCCTAATTTTTCACCCAATGCCTGTGCCCAACAGGCTTACCTTGGACTTCTGGAATTGTCAGCTGCCCGGGAGAAATATGATGAGTTCTGTGTTCCAATGGTTATGGTTCCTGCAACTGTATCCAACAATGTACCGGGTTCAGATTTCAGCATTGGTGCAGATACTGCTCTGAACACTATAACTGATGTAAGTCTGCTCTGGTGTGTGCACTACTAACAAAGCAGTTCTGTTTAAAACTGACTCAATTGGCTACAACTGGATATTTTTGTAGACCAGAACTTCGGAAATGTAATCTGGAAAATTATACTTAGGCGTCACAGCCGCATTCGTGACACCTGTTAAAAAAAGAGGAAGTCTAGGATCCTAAGTACTTCCATTAGATTTCCTCTGACACTAGAATGACCTGTAAATTTTTAAACTACAAAATAAGATAACATCTGTCTGTTGTATACTACAGCGGAGACTTGATGATCATTTGGTGCACTGTAGGGGGGAAAGAATCCCCATGTAGTGTCAGTATACCCAGCTGCAACAAACACTGAGGGAATACTGCTCTCTTCAGAAAGAGATCCTTAGTTTTATATGTCTTTATTCCTTTAAGAGAATATGTGAGGTCCATTTTCCTCTAAAAATAGGAATTACATTTATTGTACTAATAGTAGGTTTAACAAAAAGAAGTGTTATCTTTAAATAATCAAATCCAGTAGTACAATATAAATTAAAAATTGCATTATTAATCTATTACGAGACGAAGCTTCTTAACTTTGAATGTGATAGAGTGCTGGAGAAAGCTGCCTAAAGAGGGTGTGGAGTCTCCTTCTCTGAAGAGAAGTTTATCTTTATGCTTTAGCAGGGGGGTTAGAGTAGATGATCTCCAGAGGTCCCTTCCAACCCCAGCCATTCTGTGGTTCCCTGGTTCTCTAATACTAAACTCGGTTGGGCAGAAAGCATAGTCAGTTGGACAAAAAGAGTTTCAAGTTGCTTTTGAAACTTATCATTTAGATGTATTTGAAAATTTTAATCGTGATATAGTATAGTTTACTATGCCAATAATTTTATCTTTAGCAAAAGAAACCTTTCAGTTAGGAAATACGAGTTTCCTTAACTATTTCCTTAAATAAGAGTATAAGCTAACCAAAATTTATTGAATATATTCTTTATAGAGAACTTAGGTTAGAAATGTTGATGTTGTTTCCAGTTCTGGTAAATAAAAATATCTCTCAAAAATGACTGATCACAGACTAAGGTGAGTAAAATGATTGTGCAAAACATCTGCTTTCCTTCTTCTCTTACCTTTATAAGCTTTATTAACTGATTTCTTTTTATAGGTTATTTCATGTAGAGGGATATATTGTAGTCAGTCTCTCTGTCCTTGTTGCTTTAGTTTGCTTTATATTTAGGTTTCTAGATATCATCTGCCTTCATTAGATAAAATGTCATTATTTCCATATTTTCAATGCAGTAGTTGAAAACTTTTCAAAATGATATTTTTTTGCTAATAGCTTCAGTCTTGGTTTTTTTACATTTCATTTTGCCTAGATTTTTCTCAGAAATAAATACAAAAAGTAATGGCTTTGCAAGATTTAGATTTGGTTGAGTGGAAAATAAAATTTGGGTGTTTTTTGTGGGAAGTAGCACTTTTGCATTGGGGAAACATTTCTGCTTGGTATCTTTGCAGTTTTCTGCTCAGATTGTTTGAACGTGGTTCACTAAAACTAAATCTGCCAATGAGAAAAATCTATCCATTAATTCCCGTTTCATGCTCAGATCAGGTTCAGTAGGAACTGAGCCCCGTGTTAAATGTGACTGATAGGCTCGATACACATCACACAATCAACTGTGGTAAACAAAAGTAGGAGATGGATAATTGTCCATTAGATCTAGTTCATATATAATTTTTTATTCTTATTACCACTGTTAGGTCAATAAATGCATCATAGTTTTTGGTGTTCTCAGAGTAGTAGTACCTCTTCTGAACACCAAAATGTCATCACACTTTAATTTTTCTGTGGTGCTGTTTGTTCTTGTAAGATCTTGACAACTTGTAGTTAAGGTAAGTACAGTTGTACTGGGTAATAAGGGCTTGTTGGTGTTTGGCATTATTAGATACCTGTCAGCTCTTTATAACTTGTCAAGGCATGTAAATGGCTTGTATGTGTATATATATATATAGGCATACAAGATAAATTTTTTAGGATGGCAGGATTAAGAACATGAACTTTGAGTTTCCTGTGAAATGGAGCATCACTAAAATAACTGCCATAATAAAAATGCCTATATTTTCAACTTTATGTTGCTAATTCAGTGAAATGAATAGAATATTGTTTCAGACCTCAGGAATGTGACAACCAAGAAGTGTTAGGTTTTTTCTTACAGAACCGCGAAGGATGGAAATTTCTTTCCAGATTCAAGTTGGATTACTTAATAGCAATCAAAAAGAGACCTTATAGCAATACATTTTGCAGGTGGAACTGAAAAGCACCAACCTAGTCTGTAATTAATTAAGCAGAATGAGTTAAAAGATAGACTCTTCCAGCAGCTGACCATGGAAAGGATGAAAATTTAATTTGAAAACAAAACCTATTGATAGGCTAGAGGAAATGGATGGTAAAAGGGATAAACCCCAACAAGGTATGGAATAAAATTAATTTGATTTAGGAGATGTAGAAATAAATGAGGGAATGAAAAAGGTATTAGCAAGAGGTTGAGAAAAATGGAACCTGAAAAAAGGAAGAGGCGAAAACTTGCTGATGTGTTTCTTTGACAACCTGTCTTTTCTTGTCATCAAAGGGAAGGGGGTACAGGCTGATGAATTGCTTTTGTGGGGAAATAATAGCAAACAGCCCCTGAGGGGCAGTGAAAGCTACAGTTAGATTGCCTTAAGGCAACCTCCACACATGTCCCTTGGAAAGCACAGACTCCTGTACCCTCCCAGTAAATGTGACTCCACATTACTCTGAACTAGGAAGCTGAAGATGAGCCTGTTCAAGCTAGTTACTTTTGCATCTGCCTCAGTCCTAGCAAGAGCTGATGTGAAGCAAGGGCAGTAACTGCAATCCAACTTCCATGATGGTTTGCATTTAGATACAGTCAGCAAACCAAAGTCCTTGCTTGACTGCACATGTTTTTATAAAGCATCCTTGGTTATGACAATAACCTTTTTAATAAAACAAATCCAATAAAAGGGTTGGAAATTATTAAACCACTTTATTAACATTATCCTTCTGTGATTTTACTGTAGTAATTCTTTACAAAAAATAGTTGTATAACAGTTATTAAAACCACTGATCACTTGCTTACCCTATAGAATTTAGTGACCCTACATTGAAAGCATTTTCGTATTTTGCCGCAGTGATGCAAAGACGTTGCATACGGTCATCTAATGCTCATGCTTGGTGAAGGTATAGTCTTTGGATATGTTGGCTGAAATCACTTGCATCAAATAAAATGTCAATATTTAATGCAAGTAAAACATATCTTAAATGCATCTTAACATATCATAATTACAGACTAACCAATTATGTTAGTTATTTCCCCCCAAAGCTCCCTTTGATTTGGTTTTCCAGAAGTCTCAGTATAATACCTTTTAGAGAAACTCATGTTTTGCAGATCTACAGCAAGCCATGTGGTTTTACCAAACCACTATGACTTTATTTTTTTGGTAGAAATGAAAATTCAAAGCAGTCTGGCTGAGTTGAGTTGGACCAGGCAGTTACGGAAATGTCATCAGTGAGGTCTCATCTACTCTAAAAACCAAAATCCCTACATTTTTTGTTCCTGTGACTGTACTGCTTCTCAGCTTTATGGATTGGAAAGGTCAGTCTTTTAGGCTGTGTTTCAGCCTTTAAATAGAGGTACATCCTAGCACTGAGCTTCACTGAAAATTGCATTTACAAGATACACAGGAAGAGATAGATTTTAGAAAGTCAGTTTGCACTTCTGCACCATCAGCCAAAAATAACCTGTCCTCACTAACAGGATCTGCTCTACCTAGGGTAGAGATCAGAACTCTCACAGGTGAATTTTTTTCCTGTTATTTTCTTCTAAGTTATTGCTTAAATGAGTCACTGTATAGATATGCCTGGACATACCTTGATGGTTATCTGATTTTGATCTGCAATAGTTTGCTTCTCTGAACTGATTTGAGAAATTGAGAAAATGAGACTTCTGCGAACATCAGTCCTTTCAGGGAGAAATATGGAGAAAAAGTAGTGTACTATGTAATCAGGCTTTCTTGCAGAGAGTCATTACATAGTTTGAAAAACTGTCACACATCATGAGAGATGCTGATTAGATTAGAAATAATTGGAATAATGTAACTAAAAAAAATATATTTACTGACTTAAATCAGCTGCAAAATCTTAACCTTTATTTTGGCATGATCATTTATTTAGAAGAATCTTTCAAAGGACCTACAGCTGCTTTTCAAAGAATCCTTGAACTATACTTGCAGACTTTATTAACCCATCCATGTGCACATATTCCTGGATTTTTCTGGGCCTGTATCCAGTCTATGTGCATAGAGGCAGATGTGTGATGTTTATAGAATCTTTGAAGGCATGGGCAAACTTTTTTCCCTTTTCTTGGTGGAAATAGATGTGTGTCTTGATAGGATAACATAGTTTTTTTAAAAAAGCGTCTTTAAGCATTTCCTTCAAGTGGCAAGGGTTTTACTGGTTAACTTTCTGAGCTCCTTAACATGTATCGAGCTTCGTTCTTCAAGTGCTTTTTTGTGGAATGGTTTCCAGTCTGGCCTTATGCCATCCTTTTCTGCCCAGCTGCTTCAAACCTCTCTGCAGTGCACACTTCACGTTCAGTCTGTGCTAACTTCTACTAATCCTCTGCGTTTCTTCAAAGAGCATTGTGCCAATGCAACCCCAGTGCACTGTTGTGGTATGAACAGGATATTTTCCCCCTCCCCAAATAATCTCACCAATTGTATTTGCTTGGGCCAGTGGACAGCCACGTTTACCATCACATGCCAGGAGTCATTAGCAGAGCAATCCAAAGACAAGGAATGTGTCACTCACGCTTGTACCACTGCTTCAGGCCTATGAAAGTTGTCTGCAGCTCCACGAGGCACGTTCCCGCTTTGAGGAGTTTAGCGTTCCTATCTGTGTGTTGCCTGCTACTATTAGCAACAATGTGCCCGGCACAGACTTTAGCATTGGTGCCGACACTGCCTTGAATGCTATTGTGGAGGTAAGACTGTGTATCTTTTAAAAGTTAAGATGATAAAATGCATAAGAGTAGGATACTTAAAGACCTTGAAATGTCTAGTTTTCTAAAGTAACTCAGTTACTGTATTTTTTTTATGGTTTATATTTTAGAATTTTTCCAAGGCTGATTAAAAATTAACCTTATAAAAAGTATTATGTTGTGTATTTAACTTTTGGGTACTCTATTTTGTTCTTCAAGACTGCTGCAGTAGTGCTTAGGGTATTTGCTTTTACTGAGAATAAAATCTTTTGCTTGGTTTGAATTCATTTTTATCTTATGTATTAGGTAACAAAAGAATGCATGTGTTTTATAAATAAATACCCCATGTATTGCATGACCTACTGACCAGGCTCAGTGCAGTAGAGCATTTTAAGTACATGTTTAAGATTAAACATATGAATAATCCCGTAGACTCCATCAGGCTTAATTTATATTAAGTGCATGTAAGTGCATGCATAGCATAAGCAGTTAAGTGTGTCACTGATGTTTGACTAAACAGTTCGAGGCCAGAACTTGCTATGAATGAGTTGTTCATTTCAGTCAAAACAATCAGTTTTCTAGTTTTATTCTGCTGTAGCTTTTTCCCTTGGGTACAACTGCTCTGCGAGCACTCTCAGTTGTTCACTTATCCTATTGACTCTGCTGGTGACACAGCAAAGGGAACTGAGCTGAGGTCTAATTCAAGCAAATGAGTAAGTCTGTGAACAGCTCTGGGTTTTATCAAACCCCTCATTGGCAATCTGTGTAACTAATTATGAAGTAATTGGCCAAGAAAGTCAGTCTGGAGATGCAGGGGCTTGAGAAATGCAGGTTTGTTTTCTTCCTCTAATACAGTGTTACTTCTTTATATACAGTGAAAAAGGTCCAGTAGATAACTGGAAGAGCTGTGTCAGAATACAAGATTGCCTGGTCCTTGGGAGCTGCAGGACAGCATCCCTGGGGTGAAGATGTCCTAAGGTGTAGTGAGGGCACATCGTAGCAATACGTCTGTAGGCAGGACATGGGTATTTTTACCACTCCATTAGCTGCTCTCCCTTAGCCTGACATTTATAGAAGTAGGTAAGTCTGCTAATAGTGACCTCTAATAGTGATGCACTTTTAAAAGTGAAAACATTAAAACACAGTGGGGCAACAAATGATTGCATATAGTGCTGCTTCCTCTTATTTATTTATTTTTATTATTATTAATTGCAATTTGTACAGCTTTCAGTAAAGCTCTTAGTAAAAAAGGTATCTAATTTTATTGTGGTTAGTTTATAATTGTTTATGTTAACAATAAAACACTGTTGGTGAAGTTTTGAATATCAGGACTTTTGGTTAAGCTGGATCAGTTCATATGAAGCTCAACTAGCAATGGAATTCCAAAGAGTACTCCAAAAAGAGTCCACTTTCCTTCATGTTAAAGGTGTCTGAAACCCGCACCAAGCATTTGAGGTTTGGCCTTTCCAGCCTGTAGAGTAGTATATGAATTAATGATTTGTGCCATTTCTGTATGTGGGGGTTTCTGTCAGAGTCATTCTGAGAAAGCAGGAATAATGAAAAGCTTCTCCAATGTCTTTTGTACAGTCAAGAATAAAACCTCTTCTAAGTAGATCTAAGTGGTTAGTCCCATAAGCAACTAATGATTTACGTCCTTGCTAAGAACCTGGAGATCCTCGAAAGGCAGAAAATTGCACTCTACTACCAGCAGCTGGAAAACTTTTTTAGAAATCTTGGGGTTTACAAAGGTTTTAAGTCTCTCAAAATGGTGAAAATCTTCGCACGTGTTTATTTACTTAGGGTCTAAAGCCAAGATTTTTTTCTTAAAAGTTAAACAAACCTACCCAGTTCCAGGCAACTTTTTAAAAGTGAGTTAACACTGGTTCATTTCTGCAGTATTCTGAAAAAATTCTCATGAAACAGTATCTGGAATGGCAAAGAAAAGTGCTTGAGCATGTTGTAAAATCCTAGACAGGTAAAAGAAAGTGTTGTTTTGAAAAACTGATAGTAGGCTTTTGTGACATAGTTTATTATGGAGATACTTTCTGCTTAGGATAACAGAATAACAGTTCGTATTCTCAATAAATTCATGTGAATTCTGCATCTGTGTTCATCTATGAAAATATAAAAATAAAATATATATAATTACATGTGTATCTTTTGCTAGCTGGACTTGGTCTTTCAATGCATTAAACTCTATTATGTTAGAAGTTCTAGGATTTGTTTATTATTTTAAATTTTCTCATGTATCAATTAATTATGTGTTCTGTGGTCTGTTAGATAGTAGTATTTTCAGTTAGCTGAATGGATGCAAAAACCTCAAATATTACAGCATCTGCAGTTCAGGAAATCCGTAACGCTTGGGGATTTTTAAACATTACCATAATTCAGGTTTCAAGATGACAAACTTCCCAGGTACTTCTGTTTCCATTTTTTACTAAACAGAACTGGTGTTGGGATGGTACATCAGTTTCACAAAATCCTTCCTGTCACAAAGCATGATACATCCTATTTATTTATTTCTCAGACAAGGAAATGGGATGCTTTTATTTCTCTTACTTGCTTTTTGAAAGGAAGATACATTAATTGATGATTTTTAAAGTAACTTGGAATGGCAGAAAAATTCATTCCAGGAGGTGATTTTGTCAAACATATTTTTGAATATTATTAAAACCTAGAGGTGTATTGTAACCTATTACCTAGTTTCTGCATTTTCCTAAGTTTCCTAGGTCTTGCCACACTGGAGATTGTTACTTTGCAAGTCTCCTAGGCAGCTCTAATAAATATTGGTTTTAATTGGTTTCATGTAAGCAACAGATCTCCTTGTAGAGAACATTGCTTATGCTGGTCAGAGTAAGGTGCAAATGAAGATTGCAGTCTTTTTATAGCATGTACCTATTAGTAAAAAAACAAAAACATTTTAAAACATGCACCAGTAGTGCTTGAAATAAAGATATTTGTGTAGATATTGTTACTGAAAGTAATTGGGCAGCAGATGTTCAGGACTTACAAAGTTCTAACTGTTTGGTGTGGTTGGGAACGCAGTGAATTTTAACTTAAACAAACTTCAGTATTGAATAAAGAAGAGAAACTTACTTATACCAGAATTTATTATAAAGCTCCATTATATCTATTCGAATCTGTGTTAAAAAACACAGATACCCAACTGTTAAGTCCATTTACAAACTGAGTTCTTGTTTTAGTATTTGCAGGAAGAAAATAAATGAAAGTTGATAGTAAAGAAACATTTTATTTTAAGACTCTGCTGTTCAGGGTATGATTTATAAGAAATACTTTATTTGGTAATTATTATAGTTAAATGCGAGTTATGCGATTTTGGAATTTTTAAATATTTTCTAAATGCCTTTTTTTTTTTTTTTTTAACCTGTAAGTGACGCAAAGTTGCATGACAAACGGTAACATAAAAAAAAATAGGGCTGTTTTTAAATGTATACTTAGAACATCTTGTCTCTGACCAGACGTGTGACCGGATCAAACAGTCGGCCAGTGGCACCAAGCGCCGCGTGTTCATCATCGAGACCATGGGTGGTTATTGCGGTTACCTGGCCAACATGGGGGCCCTAGCAGCAGGAGCTGATGCTGCTTATATCTTTGAAGAGCAGTTTGATATTCGAGAGCTCCAGGTATACAGCATTGGAAACATTTTCCTTGTTTTTAAGTAGATGCTAAAATCGTTGTACATCATAATCTGTGCACTTGAAGTAAATGGCTCGTTTAAGGAGAAAACCAGTTTATATTGTATCTAAAAGCTGTGCTTGTCATTGCGGTTCTTATGCCATAATATAAAGCTATTGACACCAAGTTCAGTAAATGACAAAAATAATTGTGTCAGCCACTGAACTCTTCTAGATAAATTGTTTAATTTTTAGTCTTTTGACTGAAATTCAGATTAAATGAACAGACTTGGGTAGTTTTAAAATAAAACCAAAAATAGAACTAAAGAAAAAAAAACAAACCAACAAAAACCAATTCTTCCATTATGGTAGAGTTGTGTTAGAAGGCTGTTCAGGTCAGGAGCTGACTAGTTTGTCAGGTTTGTTGGGTACTGACTGTTACCAGAGCTATTCAGAGCATGTCTGGAGGTGTTACTAAAATAAAGACCTCAGGCTTTAGGGATTATGGATTAGGGTGTTTTACATACACCAGCTGACACGGAACTTGACTCCTGTGAGGACTTCTGCAGTAGTTGGTGAGAGCTGCAGTCACAGACAAATGCAAAGCTAAACCAGCAGAAATTTCCTGAAAAGCAGAGATGTGCAATGAACCATAACTTATCCCCACTCATTTTTCAGTGTCATGTACTCATCATATCCTGTAGGGGAATACCAGCACAGCACGGTATCCATAACAGGACTGTTGGCAGGACGGGGAGTAAGGCCAGCTGTGGTCTTCTGTGACAGTTTTTGTATTTTTATGTATATCAAGCTTGATGCTCTACCACTATAGCACATAAAAATACTTTTTTATAAAAGTCAGTTACTTGTGATGTAGGGGAGGATGTTTGTTCTAGCCCAAGATGTATAGCCGTACACACCATATTATCCTGGATCTCCAAATTTCTCAGTTATTTTAATTTGCACACAATGCTCTATGTGGAATACTTGACAGAGGTTCTCAGGAAATGTAGGCTCATAAAGGTGGTTTAAGAGTTCTGTATGGCTCTTTGAAAATAGTTTTGTTGTTTCTAGGCTAATGTGGAACACTTGACTGAAAAAATGAAAACCAGTATCCAGCGTGGTCTAGTGCTGAGGTAGGTAAAGGTAATTGTAATAGATGGCATCAGTGATGCTGAGCATTTCCAGACGGGTTGGCTGCTTGGCCACTTGGAATGACGCTCCCAAGTCTATACTCTTTGGTTGTTCCTTTAGCATGAGATTTTTAGTAAAGCTCCAGAAGGCAACTCTGGGACCTGTCTAAAAGCTTAAGTCCAAAACTTACTTCTTTCTGTGTAAGTATATTTGCTCTGTAGTAAAATATTTTATCCTATTTTCAGTCTGTTTTCTTAGTTTTCTTGTCTTTTATTCTAGATTCTTTCTTACTCCAGGTAGTGTGTATCATAAAGGTGTACACATACAATATGGCTTTTACTATAAAAATGCTGCTTAGATTTTAGAAGATAATGTAGAATAAAATACCTTTCAGAAATGAAAATATTTAAAATATATTACCATGTTTTAAAATCATACCTCTGTAGGCAGCCTATAGCTTCTCTCTTCCTTGAGAATTTATTTTCAGTTTGCCAAATAGTGGAGGGCTGAAAATTAATACCACCATAACCTGTATGAGAGTGCTATTATATTTGTTCAGGTTCTACTAGTTAAATGACTGGGATGAAAAATATTCTACATTTACAGTATTAATAAGGAATACCCTAAAGGTGCTGTTCATTATCCATGTTTTGATAAAGGGCAAAATGATATTGGATGTCAATGACTTTTAGTGCAGTTTTTCCTCTGTGTAACGAATTTTTCAGATTTAAAACAATTATTTTTTACTGCCTTAGTCAACAGTAGATTCCAAGTGACCTTCCAGTGTTGTAAGTGCAGTAACAGTAATGCAGACTGCAAAATTCTGAGCAAGTTACAGGGAAGTGAGCATATGTGATTAGATGAAAATGTCAAAGCCAGGATTACTGGTATCAAGAAAATGGGGAAAACAGTGGACATTCAATAGCTGTAAAAGCATCCAGTACTTCATAGTAAATTTGCTAAGTGTACCTGGCCTTGATTATTACAGAAATGAGAACTGCAATGAGAACTACACGACTGACTTCATTTATCAGCTGTATTCTGAAGAAGGAAAAGGAGTGTTTGACTGTCGAAAAAATGTATTGGGCCACATGCAGCAGGTAAATATGACCTTAAAGTTACAGACAAGACAAACTTTGTATGGACAAAGACCATACACTCTTCAAGCATTCAAAGAAGTCTGACTCAGGATTAAAGAAAAAAAGTGTGGATTTCTGTTTGTAGGTAACTCAGAAGTTCTGAGGTTCTTTTCAGGAGTAGATTTTACTGCAATCCCTGTTAAAAAAACTAGGGAAACTATGCATTAGATTCTTAATGATTTTCATTTTTGTTCCTCTTCTGACTATATTAGGCAACTAATATTAGCTCCAGTTAGCTGACTATATTAGCTCCAATTTTTCTTATTGTAATACATTCTTGTAACACACTTATCTGCCCATCCTTAATGTATCTGCCTTCTGAGCCCTGGAAGAGATTGGATTTCATTAAGGAAATCTGTGCAGATGGATGTTTTTGTGGAAGAGAGAGTAGTGAACTACATTTCTTTATCTCACAATGCAGCTTGTTAGTGGGCAGAGAGGGAGTTTCTTATTTGGCTACACTTACCACCAAGGCTGAGGTGGAGGAAAGGACCAACAGTGCCCTCTGTTCATTTAAGTGAGATGTAGCACTAATTCCACAAGAATTCTGCAGGTCCTGAACACAATTTTTTTAATGCCTTAAATTGATATATGTGCTGGGGTTTTTGATTTATTTGTGTTGCCAAGTGGGGAAAATGAAAATAAGAGGTAGAGCAGGCCATTAGCAGAGATGACTGATAAAACAGACACAGATCTTGGTTTGATATCTGGACTAACCCATGCTTAAACTTTTACACAGGGTGGAGCACCTTCGCCGTTTGATAGAAATTTTGGGACAAAAATTTCAGCAAAAGCTATGCAGTGGATCTCCAAAAAACTGAAAGAAACCTACCGGAAAGGTGCAGAAATGTTTCATGTAATCCCTTTGTTACTGTATTTGATTGTCAGTTTATAAAACTACTCCACTATGCAAACATACAAATGTTAAGTCAGTGTATTTCTTGCCCTCTTGATGTGTTTATTATTTGGTAGTGCCTTGCTGGGCTTCCTGCTGTATGAAGATTTCCTCTTGAGCAAGGTCAATAATTCAGATGGCTGTTATATCATCTTTCTTTAAAAATAATGCTAGTGTGATTGCAGGTTTTCATGCATGCAGGAATTGATGCTTATATAGTTACATGTGTTCTTCCTTTTTGTTTCACGCTGCCTTTGTGGGAGACAGAAGCAGGTAATGTGCCTTCTTCAGGAGTTTCTGTAAAGCACTGTTTCCTACAATCTAATTTAAAACTGGATGCTAAGAATAAGTCTTATTGTTGCTTAACTGCACTGTGATTGCATTGCTAATTACCAAAGCTAAGCTAAAAAGTGAAGATCTAACCCTATTAAAGCACTAATTGATGATCATTCTGTTAAGTAATAAGTAGCTGAAATAAAGCTTTTGATTCAGTTTAATTACAGAAAAATGGTATTTGCCCTTGTACATGTGAGAAAGAAAGATCCTGAATTACTTCATTCTTTTTAGGAAAAGTATTTGCCAATACCGATGACTCAGTGTGTTTGCTGGGAATGCGCAGACGCAACCTTGTGTTCCAGCCCGTGGCTGAGCTCAAGACTGAAACAGACTTTGTGTACGTATTCGCTGCTTCCGTGTTAAACACCTCTGCACAGCCTTCCCTTCTCGTCTTCAAACACTTCCCTGCAAACACTGTTTGCCTCACCTCTCACTGCTGCAGGCTTGGGCCTGCCTTTGGCCACTGATTCACTCTGATTTGTTCACACTGGTCTTTTCCCTTCATGCCTTCTCCTCATCCTCCTTACACTTGCAAGTCCCTCATTGTGAGTTCTGAGACTCTGCTGCCTTTTTGAACACATTGCTCTAATTCCTAGAATTACTTCTGGTTCAGTTGAGTGGGGCAGCATTTTTGTGCCAAATTCTGCTTACCTATAAATAACATCTTCCAGGATTCTGTCCTTGATTCTCCCCATTTTGGGGCAGTGCCTACATCTCACCATAAAAGTCAACATTTGATCCTGTTTACAGGGAAGGTGTTTGCCTTACCCCCCGTATATATCAATCAATGACCTCCCTGTTTTCCCCACCAGGCACAGGATTCCCAAGGAGCAGTGGTGGCTGAAGCTGCGACCGCTGATGAAGATCCTGGCCAAGTACAAGACTAGTTATGATGTGTCAGACTCAGGCCAGCTGGAGCACGTGGCCATGCTCCCCAAGGAAGCAGTGCCCGCACCCATCTAAACACATCACATTTAGGTCGTTGTCATAGATGCACATTGTGAGTAACAATGCTTTAGAATCGTTACAGCTTTGTTTTGTAACATTTAAATTATTGTTCCAGCACTTTATGTGAAACAAGACGTTCAGCTGTCACACAGATTTTGTCCTGTATGTGTGTTATGTTTGAGACAAACCCTTGCATCTAATGGAAAAGCACCAGTTACTGATTCTGCCCTTTAACAAAGCAAGTGCAACACCGTTCTATGCACTCTGTAAGTTACTCATCTACTGCACTTTGTTTCAGAGTACTTACACCCCAAAACTAAGTGTAGATGGCTAGCTTTGTGTTGAGTTACAGGATGTGCTTAATGTTCCTGAAGTGAAATAAAGTACTATTGCAAACATCATGTGTGATGTGTCACAAATTGTGTTCACCTGCTTTTAAGCAATTTAGGGAATGACACCTGGTGAAGGATTCTCCATACACATCAGTGAAGGAAAAAAGAATCCTTTTTCCTTGTACAGGAACGATAAAACTATGTCTTGGGGATGGGAACAGGGAGGAGAAGCTTCAACAACTTGAAGCAAGGACCAGGTTATACCCTTCTGAATTTCATGTTTCCATTTTCTCAGAGCTCAAGGTTTTCTCAAATTTTCTTATTTTCTCAAGACTATTAAAAAAAACTACCATAATGATCAAAAAGAAGAATATGATTTTTGAAATTAGGCTGCCAAACAGCCAAAACTGTTTCCTCATGCCAGCTTATATTACCTGGACCTTGACAGGAATTTAAATACTAAACCGTGTAATACCAAAATATGACTGAATGCTGCCTAAACTGGCAAACAGCTGAACTTAAAATAGACTGTCCCCTGATTCATTAGGGATTTGCCCACTGCACTGCAGTTCACTACGCACTCAGCTCAACACGAGGTGGAATGTACTGTCACAGACTCCTCTAGCTGTAGGTGGCTTATGCAAAGGAAGCTGGAATTACCACACAACAGAATGAAAGCCGTCAGTGTGAGAGACAGTTCTTTATATATCCAACAACAGACATGATTTCAAACACCATTTAAAACTAGAGTTTTACATATACAAAAATATTTCATTTATATAGTATTCATATGCAACTGGAGGAGTGAGGCGTCAGTAGCAGTCTGTCTGTCATGCAGAGCTTGTAATTCTTGCTCTCAAATACTGTCTGGTTAGAAAATTGTTCACATCGTTATTTCAAGGGCAGCTTCTAACAGTTTTGGTGAACACTGTTAAAAACAGCGATGAACCTTTCAGTGGGACCACAGGACTATTAAAACTTACTAAAAAAAAAACCCTAATGATGTAGTCAGACAGACTGGCTTGTTTTGTGTTAGCAGGGATGTTCAGCAGCAAGTCATCGTTTGACCCATGAGGGATCTTTGGTGATAGCCGCATTCTCTGGGCCCAGTACAGCTTGACCACGAGTGCTCTTCCCAGCTGCAAGATACCTGCAAAAAACCCCCATAAACAAGTGAGAAGCTGCTGCATTCAGTTATCCAAAGCTCTGCTACACAATTTAAAAATATTTTTTTCATCTCAGGAAAAAGTCTCCTTTGGTATACGTACGTCTTGTTAGTGTTTACTCTGCAGTACTGGAATTCCTACGTCTACGGTGAAATTCAGAAGTCAGAGACAAAACACTACAACATGAGTAGAACCAGCTCATACAGTGAGTGTACGGACACTCCAGTTAGTTTCTGGACCTCTCAAAAGAAAAATAATTTCCTACAAACTCAGAATGTAGCACGGAGTTATATCTGCTACAGTGCAGAACATAAAAAGCAGGATGCAATTAACGTCTCTTTCTAGGTCACAAAAGAAAATAGTGGAAGTAGTATGAAGGGCCAAGGGGAGAAATCCAATAACTTACATATGACAACTTTCACGGACTTCTTAAAAATCAGGGTTTGTTCTATTTTTCAAGTAAACATTTTCTTAAATTGAGCACAGGCTTACTTGTTTGATACATCAACCAGGTTATCACTGTTAACAGCAAAGAGCTGTTCTCTGTGCGACTGCTTCATTTCATCTGAAATCCCATACAAGAATTGACCCATTCCTAGGGAAAAGAAAACAAAACCACACATTGCACTGGTGCACTGGAATCTCAGTCACAGCCAAGTGCAGGAATGAGTGCAAAACTAAAACAAGAACATGTGCTGGGAAGGAACAGAGACTACTATCAGGCCATGGTTCTGAGACAGTATCTAACTGAATCAAGCATCAAAGGCTGCAGCTGGACTGAGGTATTAAGAATTTCCTATTTAGTAAAAAACCCTAGAAACATTCATATTCTATTCTGGCAAGTGATTTGTCAAAAATCTGAACATAATGGTAGTCCAGCAAACTTTAGACAATTCATTATGAAAAGTCTCAGAACTTTCTGAGTAGCTGCAAACTGCATTTCATAAAGCTGTTATTTTTAAAACTCTTAAAATTTGCACTTGTGATATATGTGCAGCATGAAGGTTTGATCACCTTTTTGTACTACACACAGAAATCTGCATACAAATGTTTCAATGCTCTTGTTGGAATACTTGCCTACAGTATTTAAATATATGTACTATGGCTCCTTGAACAACCAGACAACTCCAAAATAATCACAGAAAAGCTTTTTGTCAGGAAAATAAGCACAGGGGGAAAAGATGGCTTGGAAGGACTTCTGTCAACAAGTCCAACCACCTGCCCAAGGCAAGGCTGACTTCCCAGCCAGGTGAGGTTGTTCAAGTCCTTGTGCAGGGCCCAGTGACTGAAATGAAGTAACAGCATGAAGGGACACGCATTCTCTCTGCACCAGTTCCCAGGCCTATGGAACAGTGCTCTCCGTTCAGTGTTCACTGAGTTTGCCATCGCTCTGTTAAGATCTGTGTTCAAATGCCAAAGAATGTTCGTCATCCCTCACTAACACCAACACCCCGTGTGCAGGCACTGCACCCGTGTACACCTAACACTGGTTAACTGCCAAAACCAGATTCTGTCAGCTAACAGTCAGCTTCATTAGAACTTTTCTTCTTTAGTAAGTTAGTATTAATACAAGCACATTTTAAAATAATACTAATCTTAACCCTGTATACCCTTTATGTATAGGAAGGGCATGTATTCTAACTTGGCAGGTTTTGGATTGAAATTCAGCTGAGAATGCAGGAGGGAGGGAAAAGCAAGGAAAGCAAAGCAACATGTCAATAAACTGAAAAGATGTGAAGATATTACCAAGGCATGATGAGTTTGCAGATACGTAAAGAAGATAACGCCCTCCACCCCAGCAGACAGACATGCTTTAACTTTTTCAGAAAACACGCACAAAGGGCTAGTGACAGTCACAGTCAATAGGCCTGCTTGTGTCACAAAAACAATCCTTCAGCTTCCCTTGAATCACGGGACAGCATTTCTTTTGTTAGCACTTCATGTCCTTTCCAAACCTAAAGCTGTTTTCCTCAATCTCCCTCCACCTCCAACTGTATGCACCTGACATCAAGGAGCAGTGGGAATGAAAAGTTTAGCAGAGAGCCTGAGTGCATGTGGTGTGTCTGAAAGGGAGCAACAGGAACTAACTGCTTCTTGAAACTGCAGTTAGCTTACAAACTTTATCATCTGACACAGTTTAGCAAACTGTTTTCTTCCCCTTAAACTTAAAAAAATAAACACTGGCAGCACTGTGGGGCTGCTGAGAATATACCTTTATCCGAAGGAGCTATTGGTGCATCCACAGCAGCAAACACTGCCAGCTTAGCTTCATCGATGTCTTGCTGTGTGAATTCTCCAGATTTGGCCCATTCGACTGCTTTTTCAAATGTTTTCAAAGTGGCTAATGAATTTGGGTCTCTTAGAAGAAAAAGAAAATTAATATAAATTACTTCAGTCTTACAAAATGAAAAGGCTGTGTTCTCATTTCATTTGTAATTTACTATGCATCACACAAACATACACAGAAAAAAATAAATTATAAGCTTCCTTTTTATGTACAAGAGAGGTTTTGGGGTTGCTTGGTTTTTGATTTTTTTCCCCAGAAGGAATTAGTGTTGTAAACCAGGCAGATTTTCAGTTTGAGATAGATGGGTGCAGTTCAGTTGCCTAAAAGTAGTTCCAAGAGTGTGCAGAGAACTGGTCTAATAACAGAGGGTCAGCTAAGCCAGCACTGTTCACAGGGCACTATCAATTTGCTGCAGCAGCACAGAAAGCACATCTGCCATTACTACCCACATCTAATATTTATGATATGCCGTATCTTCTCTACGCTGCTTTTCCTGCTACACCTGTTTTTGCTCTCTGTAAAACAGGTGCCACAGGTTAACAACTACTAGCAAGTCAGGGACTACTGCCAGGACAAGTCCTACCACGTTGAAGCTTCACAGAGAGGCAAAGCTGCTCAGTTAGGAATCCTGACCAAGCACTGTGTTAGGCTGCCTTTAGGCCAGGAAAACGATTTAAGCCTGGACTCCAGCTATGTGACATTTCTAAAAACTACTTTTTAACACCTCCAGTTCAAATCCCATCTGGAAGTGCTTTGGTGAGCCCAGTGCAAGGTGACTGCTCTGGACTGACAAAAAAGAGAGGAAAAGGAGAAGGCAGTTCTAGCTCATCACCAGCAATGTTTTCTGCTGAACCTCCAGTGATTCCAGCCAGTCACCGAGGGATACTGCATAACCTTATGGAACAATGATCATCCTACTTCAGGTCTCAAATTTAGGTCTTCAGGTCTTAAATTCCCTTTTTAGGGCCTCCTCAAACCAGGACAAAACAAGCAAAAGCCAGTTTTACATAAATCTGGTACCAAGACAGTAAACATCAAAGTACAGAGATTCAACAGTGGTTGCTACCAGCAGAGATAAATTAGGCTTTCCCAAAGACACCAACCAGTGAAAGCAAGAAAGGGTTTATTAAGCAATTAATCTAATTTCATCAGCACTGAATCACTTCCTTGTTATTTCATTCCTTTGATTTCACTTCATCATGAAAGAGAGCTACAATTAAGTTGAAAATAAGCCAAGCGCAGTCAGTGGTCCCCTCAGCCACGAACAGGAAAGAACAAACCCACTGTTACCTGTAGGAGTAGAAAGTGAATATGCCATTCTGACTAAGTTTAGCACCTCCACCATAAGCCCCTCCTTTCTCTCTGATTTCTGTGTGTAGGAATTTCGCTGTCATCAACCGAGCGAGGATTCGAAGGCTGGAATAAGAGCAACAGCAAAGATGTTCAGTGAACTGGACAACAGTAATATCCTCAGCGTTCTCTAAAGCTCACTACGATCCCCATTTGCATTGCACTGCTTTTTGTAATTTGCAACAGTAACAACAGCAATACTCAATATTTAATAACAGCTGAATAATGTGACATGACTGTAAGAGTCGCACTGCTCTGGATCATTC